CGCATCCTGTCTCAAGAGCTCGTTTGTGGAGAAAAAATTGTTCAGGGTATGGGGTGGGGGCACTTTTTTTTATGATGCCGATATTTCAGGAAACTGAAATTGTGGAGGTTAATACGACTTGCTTTCCCCAACATTTTCTACCATATCGCATCTTGTCTCAAGAGCTCGTTTGTGAGAAAAAAATTGTTTAGGGTATGGGGTGGGGGCACTTTTTTTCTATGATGTCGATATTTTAGGAAACTGAAATTGTGGATGCTAATACGACTCGCTTTTCTCGACATTTTCTACCAGATCGCATCCTGTCTCAAGAGCTCGTTTGTGGAGAAAAAATTGTTTAGGGTATGGGGTGGGGGCACTTTTTTTTATGATGCCGATATTTCAGGAAACTGAAATTGTGGAGGTTAATACGACTTGCTTTCCCCAACATTTTCTACCATAACGCATCTTGTCTCAAGAGCTCGTTTGTGAGAAAAAAATTGTTTAGGGTATGGGGTGGGGGCACTTTTTTTCTATGATGTCGATATTTTAACTTGTGCCAAGTTTAAACTTCAAGTTGAACCTTCGTTCAAACTTCAAGTTCAAACTTCAAGTTTAAACTTCGAGTTCAACCTTCAAGTTCAACCTTCAAGTTCAAACTTCAAGTTTAAACTTCAAGTTCAACCTTCAAGTTGAACCTTCAAGTTCAAACTTCAAGTTCAACCTTCAAGTTTAAACTTCAAGTTGAACCTTCGTTCAAACTCCAAGTTCAAACTTCAAGTTTAAACTTCAAGTTCAACCTTCAAGTTCAACCTTCAAGTTCGAACTTCAAGTTTAAACTTCAAGTTCAACCTTCAAGTTGAACCTTCAACTTCAAACTTCAAGTTCAAACTTCAAGTTCAACCTTCAAGTTTAAACTTCAAGTTGAACCTTCAAGTTCAAACTTCAAGTTTAACCTTCAAGTTTAAACTTCAAGTTGAACCTTCAAGTTCAAACTTCATGTTCTAACTTCAAGTTCAACCTTCAAGTTGAACCTTCAAGTTCAAACTTCAAGTTCAACCTTCAAGTTCAAACTTCAAGTTCAACCTTCAAGTTTATACTTCAAGTTCAACCTTCAAGTTGAACCTTCAAGTTCGAACTGCAAGTTCAAACTTCAAGTTCAACCTTCAAGTTCAAACTTCAGGTTCAATCTTCAAGTTCAAACTTCAAGTTCAACCTTCAAGTTCAAACATCAAGTTCAACCTTCAAGTTCAAACCTCAAGTTGAACCTTCAAGTTCAACCTTCAAGTTCAAACTTCAAGTTCAACCTTCAAGTTCAAACTTCAAGTTCAAACTTCAAGTTGAACCTTCAAGTTCAAACTTCAAGTTGAACCTTCAAGTTCAAACTTCAAGTTGAACCTTCAAGTTCAAACTTCAAGTTCAAGTATTTTAAGTGCATCCCAAAAACTTGGTTTTCTGTTTTGGGCCAGGAGCTATTTCACTTCCAGTCAGCTGCTTATGATCTATAAGGCACAGATCCGACCTGTCCTGGAATACTGTTCCCATATTTGGAGTGCAGCAGCCAAACATACCCTGAAACTGTTGGATTCTGTCCAAAAAAGAGCAATTCGTCTCGTGGGTGATGGCTCGCTCACTAACTCACTCACTTCAACTTCAAGTTGAACCTTCAAGTTCAAACTTCAAGTTCAAGTATTTTAAGTGCATCCCAAAAACTTGGTTTTCTGTTTTGGGCCAGGAGCTATTTCACTTCCAGTCAGCTGCTTATGATCTATAAGGCACAGATCCGACCTGTCCTGGAATACTGTTCCCATATTTGGAGTGCAGCAGCCAAACATACCCTGAAACTGTTGGATTCTGTCCAAAAAAGAGCAATTCGTCTCGTGGGTGATGGCTCGCTCACTAACTCACTCACTTCTCTGGAACACCGTAGAAAAGTTGGCGATCTGGCTCTATTTTATAAATATTTTCATGGACGATGCTCTTCTGAAATATCAACAATTGTTCCTCCCTTGGAAGTCTCCACGAGATTCACCCGTCGAGTTGGGGCTTCGCACCCCTTCGTGGTCAATTTGGAGACCTGCAGAACATCTCTTTCTAAAGACTCGCTCATCCAACGAACAGCGAGGCTCTGGAACACTTTGCCAAGGGAGGTGTTCCCCGAGGCATATAACCTACAGAAATTTAAGAAGAACACCAATTCCTACTTTATTTCTCTTTGTTCTCACTATGTTCTCTGAACATTCCTTTCGTGGGAACCAGAACATAAAAAAAGCCAGGGGCGGATCGTGATCTTTCGGGGCCCTGTGCTGATACTATTTGGGGGGTGGCCTTATCAACCCAACCTATTTGCCATTTTCTCGAAAAAAATTGGCACAAAACGTGTCAATAAAGCAGAAAAAATCCATTATTTTGACTTAATTCACTGTTGTGGAAAGGCTGAATAAAATTAAAAATAATTATTTCGAGTTACGTGCTTCTTGTTGATTGATTCTGAAATAGTGCACTATTATTTCACTATTGACATTCAATAAATACAGTGCTTTCTTGAAGTACTGAATGAATTGAATTTCAGTGAAACTATCAATTCCTGAGGAATTTTCTGGGACAAAGCGATTTATAGTTTCAGTTTGCCATATTTTCAACGTAGAATTAATTATACAGGGTGATCTACGTTGAAGTTAAGACGACCATGAATTGGAATACCCTTGAGTATTAGCTGTAGAAGCACCTGGTCTATTGGATTCATCATCAGATGAACTACTGGAACTGCTGGAGCTTTATGATAAGCTGTAGTCTGACGGGGAGCAGAGCAGAAAACAGAGAATAGTCTTCTAGGAAATACAAGAGGCCAAGATATTCATTTATCAGGCATGAAATGATTAGGATCCGTATCCGAATAATCTATTAAATCTTCTTTGTTGCTATAATCATACGAAACAGGAACGGTAACTCCTCGGTATCTGATGCTTTATCAGCTGATGCTGTCACTGCTGACATATTTTTCCACTCTGCTTTGTTGAACAGAAAATGGTTCCTTCTGTGGTTGCTTCCAATGACTTTGTGGGTAACAGGAAACCACGACCCCTCATTATCAGTCAAATAACAATTTCAAATTCAATCAATTCATTGATAGTGCATTATCTCAAAAAATTAAGAATTCTGAGTAGATGAAAATAATGAATTATAATTTTTTATCAAGAATTCGAACATAATTTTGGTTTTCAGAAAAAATAATTGCAAACCATTTTTTTATTTAAAAATTGTCAGTTCAAACCGCCCGTACGGATTTCACTGGTGAAAATTTTAATAGAAAGGTATGTGTACAAAATTTAATCACTATTTTCTTGTAAGTTTAACACCCTGTAGCTCAAAAACTAAAAGGTTTAGGACATATTATGTAGATATGGTCTTTTCTTCTTAAAATCACCAGAGGATTCACACCTTGTATTATCGGCACTCAATTAATTAACACCAATTATCTTCAGAAGATGAAAAAAACAATACCTATCTCCTCTCCGTATCCTCCCAAGGCATGCACGATGTTCTTCTAGCATTATAGGGAATCCCTTTCGTGCGCTCCAAATGATACAAAAATTAGTAATCCGTGTATTTTGTATTCGATGGAGCGCGTTGCAGCAAACAACAAAACAAAAATAGAATGGAAGAACTCATACTATTTTTATTCTCAAGATTCAAATATATCTGATCACGATGAGTAAATAAATAATAATATACATCAAATAATTCATTCTTATTTAAATAAATCTCAATTCATTTTTCTATGGACAATTCAATGTATCGGTAGTTTGATATATCTATATAGCTAAAATATTATAAAGTAAATTGATAGTGATGGTTCGATCTGATGCATTCAGAATGTTCCAAAATACTTCCACAACATGACCAATGTCTTCTTCCTGGATGCCCTTCGTGGCCGTGTCCACAGCCTTTATATCTAGAAAACAAAAAAAAATTGAGCACCTGAAATTTTAGTTAAGAAAATATTATTTTCTCTATTTTTGGAAATAATGACTGTTGCCACAATTTTTCACAACTTTCAACACACCAATCATCAAAATAAATCAATAAATATTTCATCATCAGTTAATTTTTCAATAGTCTGATTATTGTACTTCGACATTGATTAGAACCATATAAATGAATATATTTCAAAAGCAACATCAACAGATAGTGTGAAACTTGGTAATTCCTCTCTGTTTTTCCGTTTATAATAATTCTAACAAAACATAGAGATGTTTTCCCCTTCACGCTGAAAGGATTCATAAAACTTCTTGCCAGATTGTGAAAAACATGTTTACCTGATTTTATGCACAAAGGCTAGTATTAGGACCTATATGTTGTAATAAGCTATTTTTTCTGTGATTGGAAAAAAGTTTGACATTTCAGCTCTGTTATAAAATGTCACTTTTCATGAATTACTTTTTTCCCATGGAAAAAAGTGAGTACTTTTTTCCCTGTATACAGTGTGTCCCAGCTAAAACTTGTCACCCCCAAAATCTCCGATGTCGTTAAAAAATTTCGAAATTAAAATTGTCTAAGAATGTTGTGTGAATCTCAATGTATTACTATGAACTCATTTCCATCAATGGTCGAGTCAATACAAAAAAAAATTGAAAAAAAAACTCACCCTCCTGGCATGTTTCCCTCACACCCGCAACTCGCCTCTTTACTACCCCCGCTCGAACAAAAGGTGCAGCAATGGAATGTGCCGATATGTGGTTTCAGGGCTCTCACATTGAAAGGAAAAGGACTACCCTAAAACAAACGAAGAAGCAAAAAAAACATCAAAAAATGTTGATTCAAGATATCAGTATCGGTGAATTATACAGAGTGATCCATTTGAAAGCGAGCCACCCTCATAAATTTGTTATTTATGGAGCGATTTTCACGATATTGTTTTTCGAAATGTAGAGGGAGAGGAGAGGTGTATTTTGGAGCTTAGCAAAGTCCACTTTTATTGAAAACCAAGGCTTACTAGATCACATTGAGAGACTGAAACGTCCAGAATATATTAGAGATTTTTTCAGGAAATAATACGCCTACAACACTAGAGTTGGCGTCATCTGAAATAGATCTGTAGTTTCATCGAAAAATATTCAACATTAACGATTCTACAGCGTGTCTCATTTCAAACAGCACCCCCTTTATTCTATTACTATTTTCTCATCTCTATCTAACTCTTTTTCCATTTCCTTCTACTGATTTATATTATATTGACAATTCCCATACAATGTTATTTGTCAAAGTGGAAATAAAGTATTATTATTATTATTATTATTATTATTATCTCAGCTCTTAGTCGTGCGATTGGTGCTAAATTTCGACCAGTATATGAATAACCATCAATATTATCAGTTTTTCAAAGACGAACTTCATTTTAGATAGTGTCATGCTTTTTATTGAAATGAAAAAGGGTCGATTTTTATGAAAAAAATCACCTCATTATTCGAAATTAACTGGATTGGCTCAAATGTTTCATTTTCAGTCTCGGCAAAATAGTGCATGAATTCAAATTCACTGCAAATTTTGGATTTTAATAGCTCAAGTAGGCGCAGGAAATCGTGATTTGGAATGAAAAGACATTGACAAATACTTCATAATTTTATGACAAATTTCTCAAGCTCATTGCTTGGTATCAGTCCTAAGCTTCTACGATATCACTCACTTTGTATACGGGGTGTTTTTGAAATAAGTACATATATTCAGCACATCAATATGATACAGTTCCCATGATATCAGATTTTTCCTAATTTTTCTTATTAACAAGGAATTTCATCCCGAAAATTGAACAGAAAACAAGAAAAAATACAAGTACGCCAGTCTGAAACAATTTAAATGATTGAACTCCGATTGATTGTTCCTTAGGCACGAAAATTTTAACCGAGGTGGCGTCAGGATTGCTACAGTGTAGATCTTTAGGTGGAAAAAAAGGTCTTACCTCAAATTTTATTTTGATCGCTTCATTTTTTTTATTGGTGCCACTCGATAGTATATGTCGAGTTTTCTCAGGGTTCGAGATCTTTGCACTTATTTCAATGCCACCCTGTATACTGTAATGAAATTTTATACTTCTGGGCATAATAGGCCCTGCCTCTGCCTTTATTGTCAGTTAATAATAATAAAATTATCTCGTCTATTATCAATGTCCTAGGGATATTACTACTGATAATGAACTTGTGAATATTACTTCAAGAGTTTTTTTTTAATGGAGTTTTTCTTACATCAATAGGTTGTCCTTTGATAGTGACACTAAGTACTAGTTTTCCAGCAACGTCAGGTACGAATGATAGACCGTATGTTCCGTCTCTTCTATCCATTACGTTCACATTGAGGGATCTTGATACTCCGGCATCCCTGTATCTGATTTCGGCCTCTATTTCTTCTCCCCCTCTTTCTACCGGGGTGCCGTCAAAATCCCTGGTTTCTAGAGGTACTTCTACCCTTTTTCCTACTCGCAAGTTCTGCAAACCTGTAAAATTATTGTTTTGTGAGTTTCTGAAATGCAGCGTCATCAGAAATGCTTTTTTCAAAAAAAAATTCTCTCCGCATCAGTGGAAGTACACTACTGATACAATAAAATGGCCATCAATATGTTTGTTATTGCTAGGCCACATTTTCAGTGCCTAGGAGCTGAAGATAAAGTTTAACTCCTAGGAAGTGAAAATGAATCAGCTGACGCTGATAAAGGATAGCAGCTGATGCTGGCGTAAGTCACAATGGCGGGTTATTCACTTATATTTTATTTACATCCATTATTATGGATTCAAAAAAATGACAGATCCTTTAAACAAAAGTGACTACGTTCGATTGTATCATTCTTATATAAGTGCTATCTTACTGCCTCATGAGATTATATAGTGACAGTGGAAGAACAATAATCATTGTATAGGTAGATATAGAAAATATACGTGAAATTTTCAAATTTTTCGAACAATAACGAATGTGGAAAGAAGTTCAAAATGTATATGCACTATTTAAGTGAAATGAACCAAACTCTGCCAGGATACAGATACACTATACAAAAATCTAATTTCGTCTGATTGATAGCAGCAGAGTAATTTTTCTTGCTCCGAAATAAGTGTTGGAAATTTGAGGACTAAACGATCTCACCTCTAGATAAAAATGACAAGTTAAGATGGATTCGAAATACATTCAAATTCAACACTCAAGACACACATGCTCCATCACATCGGTGTTTGACGTGAGGTTGAAGATATATGGATTCTCACTCGACATTCAATTTATATTAATAAAACTGAGAAGACTTTTGGATATTGAAAAAAAAAGGTTCATTTGAAACCAGATGGTTGTAAATGATCTCGAACAAAATACAACGCGCTAGTGCTGATTATCTCGGAATAATTTTACTTTTTATAAACTGAATTTACGCCACAAAACGTGGTTTATTTTGATTTTCGAACAATGTGAGATTTTAAGGCACTATGTACACCGTATAAATTTAATGTTTCACTTTCAATCATGCGTTACCGAAGTTTGAACAGCCCTGTCTTAAAATAAACATTCACAGACTAGCATGAGCGCTATTATTCAGATGTTGTTCGAATGGGATGAAAAAAGAAAGAATATTTGGTTCAATGGAGACACAAATTTATAGCCATTTTTAAAACAGGAATGCAGATGTTACATCCGAGCAAATATTCAAGTTAATTTTTTTCTTATTGAATATTGTCTAGTTTCGATTATACACTGGTTATGTATGGTGAATTTTTTCCTCCCACTCTGAAACCTCTGATATTTCAACTAGATTCGATAAATTCGAGCTTCATTTTAAAAAAATACCTTCGACATTCAAGTGACAATGGTCCGGTGAAACACTCTGAGTAGTGAGCACCCCGTATACAGTGAAAACGTCTTTGGGACATCTCACCGCTTCTTCTTTCAAAAACTGTAACGATCCAGACAACCTAAGGTCTGTGGGCTGTTCGAAGTTATCGCACTTTTCGATTTTGGAAATTATGGGGTTCAGAAAGCTGAGCACTTCGATTTCGCTGCCATCGCTCAGCAGGTCTTCTATGAAGTAGGCTATGTCTTTGGCATCCCGGATTCGTTGCTGCAACTTTGCCCTTTCCTTGGAAATGGTCTGCAACTTTTCTTCTCTAACCTTGAGAAAACAAAAAGATTTAACCACCTTGTATTTGTTTTTTGATGTTCTGGTTCCCACGAAAAAGGATATCCTGTAATGTTCAGAAGACATCGTGAGAACCAAGGGAAATAAGGTTGGAATTGGTGTTCTCCTTAAATTTCTGGAGGTTATATGCCTCGGGGAACACCTCCCTTGGCAATGTGTTTCAGAGGAGCCTCGCTGTCCGTTGGATGAACGAGGCTTTGGAAAGAGATGATCTGCAGGTCTCCAAAGTGACCCCGAAAGCACGAGATATTGACCAGATATTGTCGTTATTTCCAACTAATCTGTAATTTTCCTACTCAATATAGATGATATGATATGATTGTACATGATTGTGTTTCATGGATTGTAAAATTCAGGTACTTATTTGCGCGAGGCGAACTGAAATATGAGGGCCTGGCTCCGATAAATGTGTTAGTGAATGAAGATAAGACTTTCCAAATGAATCAATCCAACACCCTTTCCTCACCTGTCTGATCTGCGCCAACAGTCCGACTTTGTGCTCCTCGACGCTCCTCGTATACGCGTCGACGAACGTTTCGACCTCGTCGCGCACTCTCAGGCACTGCGCCTCCACCCTCATGGAGGCGGCGCCGAGGTCGCCAGCCGCCGCCGCTGCCGCTTCTGCCGCCCTGCTGGCCCTTTCGGCGGCGGCGCGCAGATCGGCTGCGTGGAATCTGGCAACCCTGGAAGCGGGTTCGCACGCGTGGCCGCGGTGCGACAGGGGGACGCATTCCCTGCATATTACCTGTTGAATGTTTACGTTATTACGTTTATTGAACGTTATGGCTATAACGTTATACGAGATATGTTTTGATGACGTTTATTCAACGTAATTAGCGATTCGTTTGAAAATACGCATTTTTGAGACGTTGTAAAAAAGTGTGAGTTAAACTTTATTTTCAACTAATTTGAACTATTTTCCAACCAATAGTGGTAAACAAACCGGTCAGAAGAAAATTTTGCTAAATTGGTCGCTCTGTAACTGCATATGAAGTGAAGTCTGACCATTCTGGAGGGGTATGTACGTTATTACGTTATTACGTTCATTGAACGTTATGACAAGAAAGTTATTCAAGGTACGCTTTGATGTCGTTTATTCAACGTTATTAGCGATTCGTTTGAAAATACGTATTTTTGGAAAGTTGTTGAAAAGGGCGAGTCAAACGTTAGTTTCTACTAGTTTGTGAACTATGTTCCAACCATTGAGTGGTAAAAAACCGACCAGAAGAAAATGTTGCCAAATTGGTCGCCCTGTAACTGTATATGATGTGGAGTTTGGCCACTCTGGAGGAGGGTTTACACATGTGGGCGCAGTGCGATAGGGGTACGCATTCTCTGCATATGACCTGTGGAATGTGTACGTTGTCACGTTTATTGAACGTTATGACAAGAAAGTTATACGAGATACGTTTTGATGACGTTTATTCAACGTTAGTAGTGATTGGTTTGAAAATACGTATTTTTGAAACGTTGTTGAATAGGGTGCATCAAACGTTATTCTCAACTATTTTTCAATCAATGAGTGGTATGGAAGCCAGCCAGAAGAAAAAATGCCGAATTGGTCGTCCTAAAACTGTATACCGGGTGGGTATGAGAACCGACCACTGTAACTTGCGAATCGTTCGAGATGAAATTTTGCAAATTGGAGGTTTCATATTACATCATATTTTTCATTCACTGATATGGTTATGATTCTTGAGTTACTTCTGGTGTCGCCGAAAATGGCCCTATATATTTTCACATTCTTGGATTCAGGAGATCATTTTACATACAGTTGTATCATTTTCGGGTGAAAATTTTCTTAGCGTCAATTTTTTGACAGAATTCTCGCATAATATTTCGAGTCGATAACATTCAAAATCTTTGGAAGAAGAATCAGTAAAATAAGCTTCAAAATGAAAAAGTGAATCAGTCACCTGTATTACAAGTTACAATTTTCGTTAATGACAAGTAATTTAGGAATCGCCTTGTATATTCAATATCCTCTCCGTGAGTGATAGAGTCGGATGTTTGTGTTTATCCAACCTATCCTGTTTGTGTGATTTGAAATGGAAGATCAAGAAAACTGAACACATGGGAACACAATATCATCAGCTACAAGCTCATACAGCCTTTCGGTAAAACTGCACTTATCATGTAATGGTTTTTTTTTTTCGAGAATTTTACTTTGGTATTTACGTATTTTTGTCTGAAAAACGCGAATTTGAAGACGAAAATGAGAACAAACCATTATTTATTAAGATATTTCACTATAATGTTACAAATTTCACCTTCTTTTCCGCATCTGGATCGCATTTAAAACAATTCGCCCTTCTTTTTTCATTATATTGAACAATTTATATATCAAAATGTACTTCGATGACAATTTTTTTTCTATTATACAACTAGAAATATGATTTTCTTGCGGTTTATCCATATTTAGTGAAAAGAGGGAAGAATATCATTTGAAATAATGGCCTGTATAATGTCATTCAAAAGCAATATGTTGACATTTGACATGTTGGATCGACTATTGATTCATATCTAGAACGACAATGATTGATTAAATGGCCGTCATCTGGTATGATTGTCCACTAAATATGAAAAACTATCCATAAAAATCATATTTCGTTTTGAATTTTCTATATAAAAATGTGTCATTAAAGTATATCATGAGTATAAAGTGTCCTATGACAAAATAAGAAGCGCAAGAAATGCATCCAACACAGGGGGAAAAGAAGACGAAATTTCCTTGAAATATCTCGATAAATAGTGGTTTGTTCACATTTTCATGATCAAATTCGTGTTTTTCAGACAAAAATACGTGAATACCAAATACATTATTCGAAAAAAAAAACATCGCATGGTAAGTGCAGTTTTACCAGCCATCCTTTTTCAGGTTTTGGCTTGCTCTAGAATGGAAATTGATTTCAAATTTGATGAATAATAGGTACAGTCAAATAGTCAAATGCAAAGACCATGTCGCGGTTGGAAGGAGTCTTATTGCAGAAGTGATATGATGTGTGCCCATATGTGCGTCCTGTTGTTTGCATCCGACTGTACCTAATATTGTCGGTTGTCCTCATAATATATTATGTCGTGCAATTCTATTAACAGTATTAACATTCTAACGAAAGAATGCGTAACAAACAGATGTTCCACAGAATTGTAAACATTGTTGTGTTGTCGAGCCCATCTCATTAGCTACCAACTTGAGGAAACAATAATGAATCCTCTCCTGATTATTATTGAATTTGACAATGCCAGATGTCAACGTACGAAAAGAGTCGGGAAGAACGACGTTCACGAAATTTTTTCTCACTCACTTGATAACACGATGAACAAAAGATAGACAGCTCTGCATCTGGATGTCTCAAACACATTATCTGCTTTCTCACTTTGGTGATCCCCCTCTTCCTGGCCTCTTTTAAGCTCAGAACTTGGTGTTCTACTGAGGATTTTTGTCTTGAATGCACTTCTTTGCAATGTTCGCAAAAACTTATCGCACAATCCATACATCTGGATGTCGCCTGAAATACAATTAAAAGAAACAATTATTGCTATATACTGTATCATTCATATCACTTCACTTCACTCGTCTATGCGATTGCCATTGACTTATGTTCTATTCATATCCCAGAAAACACGACACGATCATATCAATTACTTTGGAAGTTATTCGAGAAAAACTGATTTCCAGCAGCATCCTTCAGGGGCCTATGTCTCTAAAAGGAGTGCCTGTAGGAAATATTTTTATAGGAATTTGTCATCTTCCTAAAGATTACTCACATTTTTTCGGGAACACCCCCTTTATACATTGTGGAACACCACGGCCCCAAAACAGATCCCCGAGGCACTTCCATTCCTTTTCAACTTACCGACACCTCCGAAGTGCACAAATCGCAGGTGGTGCTGCAGGGGGTAGTTGGGGAGATGAAAACCTACTTTTTTATGGAAAAATGACAACTCAAAGTTCCAAATTGGCAGCTAAGCGCCATCTCCAATTATTTTTTCAACTCATATTATTTACTTTACGAAATCTTCTCATAATTCTTAATTTTTTCATCTGAGACACTTCACTCCTAACATTCACTAATCACCTTTGCTTTGGAAAATCATCATTGTCGCGATAACATCTTGATTGGTTGGGTTTAAAATTACCAAAATGTCTCTTTACATGAAACCTATGATATTTCAAAAACTAACGAATACTCACTGCAGGTAACAGAGAACACAACACACAACAGTGAAATCGGATAATAAGAGGAATATCTTTCAATATTCGCATCTTGACTAGATGAAACAACGATTTGAAGATGAAGGTGACAGACGATATTGACAATAGGAAGTTAGATTGACAATGTAGTTCTTCTTCTTCTTCTCTTCTTGTATTTCTGGGAACTCTAGGCATTACGCTGTCGCCAGGGCCACAAAATAATTCGGTTTCATATGAAATCTCGATCATTATCAGAAATACTAAGATATTCTCGTTTTTTTCATAAGAAAGTAGGCTTTCATCTCCTATTATCGAGCCCTCCAAATTTCGAGGGCAAGCACCTGACTTTCAACGTGCACTGTACATTGCAAAAAAGCACGGCCCCAAAACTGATCCCTGAGGCTTACCGACACCTCCGAGGTGCACAAGTCGCACAGCAGATGGGTGGCGGCATCGTTGATGGTTTCTAACACGAGGCGGTGCTGCAGGGGGTAGTTGGGGGGAAAGGAGGCGACCCCTCCAGGGGGGACGTCGGCGGGGGAGTCGCACGCGGGGCAGCGGAGGCGCTTCGGGGGGCTCAGGGGCAGGTCGTCCTGTCTGTCGCTGATGTAGCCTGAGCCGCCCGAGCTGGCTTTTCTCGAGGAGGAGCTGTCGGTTTTCTGAGCTGAAACTAAGAAGGCCACGAGAGGTGTACAGTGTGTCCAGTTTTCGATGCTTTCGAGCGATATCTTAGTTATCTTTGTTGGAGATAGAGTGTTGCGATTTTCACGATCCTGTCCTACTTTTTTGTGAAATGAATAATGTCGCAAACATAATTCTCACAGTCCATAATGTTTCTGAGATTCAGAGTGAAGTTGAAAATTCTTACTTTTTGAGCACCTCCTGATTTTGGTTACTTCTATACTTATCAGCAGAATGAGAACAGGGCCTTATATAACTTACTACATATAATACAGTGGCATACTCATTTTATTTCTGTAATCGCTCATCTTTAGAAAATGGTTGAAAAAAATAAAGAAAAAATAAAAAATTTTACCATTAGGAGTAGACCCCTGCTATTAGGTATTTTTGATGAGCTGCTGGAAATCTGATTCGAACTGGATAGAAATGTACAGGGTTTCCCATATGAAAAAAATATGTTGGTTCCATTTCCTAATAATAATAATAATGATAATAATAAATGATTTTATTGAGTCAGCATAAATGTACAACAGGTATTATTATACATATATGTTTCTCAAACGGCAGAGTTCAATTTCACGATTAGATCGCAAATGAGCGAGAACAGAATATAAGGCCCCGTTAAAACATTATGTTCGGTGTTCTCATCCTGCCGATAAGTTGAAAAGTAACCAAGATACCGGAGATGCTTAAAAAGTGAGAATTTTCAACTCCGCCCTGTATGTCAGCACTGATTTCAGACAGAATTCGTTCAGTTCGAACCAATCTAGAGCAGATGCACGTCGATAATTCGTATTATTCTGGCACTGCATGGATGAAATTCAATATCGACATGAATATTCTACTGGTAGGTTTAGGACAACGTGCTGTTGGGTCCTGAAGCTGATTCAAGCTATAGATCTATTCAAAGATCTTGCTTCAAAAATAAGAAATTTTCAAATTATTCCTTAAATTTCGAAGAATATGGAGATATAATAGTATGGGGATATTTTATGAATAATCAAAGGGTTCGATGGTTGTATAGTACCTGGGTATAATATAATTCAATTTTGTCATTTACTACAAATACCTCGTATTAATTCCAATATTTTGTCGCAAATTCTGGGTACCATTATTTTTCTCCTGTTTCATTCTACTTCGATTTTATGAATTCAGAAATATTATTTTTGCTATCGACTTGGCTACTATCACTGTTTCTCGACAATAGGGAATCAATTGCTAATAATTTTATTACTTTCATTCCGAAATCTAAACATAACATAACAATGTAAATAAACACCCAATATCTTTCAGAATTTTTCAGCCCGCGACTTTCTTGACACCGTCAAAAATTATTGTGCAAAAACGAGCGCTTTTACCAGTCGATAAATTCTACTCTACCCTTGAGTTCGGCCTGTTCAGTCGAATAGAAATAATATTGTGACTGTCTGAGTGCATACCACTCATACTAGTCGAACACACACGCACGGCAAAAGATGGAATTGAATGCGCAATAGTGCAGCCGCAGCCAGTCGAATATGCTAAAAGCATCGAAAACATAGTTTTTTTCGTGTAGTCGAAATTGTACAGGATTTTCATCTTTAAAAATTGTTCTAAATTTTGACACTCGTTTTAAAATGATTTCGATTATGTAATATTCCAAAATTGTAACAGAGATATCCATACCTGAAAACTATTGTACTATATTCCAATAATTTCTGATAATCATGCCAGATTTCAAAATCCAATATTTCAAAATTTTTCACTAGATTCTCATATTTCCAAATTAAACTAGATTTTATTATTTCAAGAGCATTCTAGCTTATTGAATTCAATATTCTGAAATTTCACATATTCGAAATTTTTTCGAAAGTATGGCTGTTAATTGAACGGTAATTTTCCAAATTATCTGGATTTTCTCTTCTTGAAATAGGCGTAAAAAGCGCGGCTTTCATTCTGGATGGAAATATTTCTCTTTGAAATGATAAATCAATGTGCAGTAAAATATCGGATAAGCTGTTCTTATGTCAAGAAGTTCAAAGCAACCATTTCGAGCATCTTCTGAATGAACTCAGTTTATTTTCTCAAATTATGAAGTAAACGTCGATGTATTCAGGCAATTATTAAATTTGCCACTATTTTGTAGTGGGCTTCAAAGTCCAACATATAGTATTCTTGCCTCAATTTCATTACACCAAGTTACAATTTTTTCAGTCGACCCGTTCGAAATAAAAGAGGGTGGGGGACATTAAAGGAAAGCACTGTATATCATTTTGTAAGAGTTTTGCTTGGCTCAACAAAATTCGTAAATCCTTTTTCCGGAAAAGAAGAAGACATATTTATCGTTCACATGGGATTTCTCGACTCACAACGGCTTAACTGGGATTAAGTTCCTCACGCAATACGGTAAATGAATTCTTTTATATTATATAGTTATAGAAATAAGTAAATCCTAAATAATAGCTTCAGAGATATTATTTCTATCAAATGAAATTCCTGATAATATCAATGTTCATATCCCATGATTCAATTTTCTCTTCATAAACGCAACTTTTGCAATTTTAGGTACCTATTCGAATTCAATGCAAGAATCACACGGGACAATTTTTAGCGTGAAAGATAAAGGTTGATACATAGGTACGGAAATCCCTTTCAAGTGCAATTTTCACAATAATACTAATATAACCACTATAGTCAGACATTCTTGTGAAAGAATTATGCAATAAGGGTTATACTCAGTTTCAAATGAAGGTTCAACTCTGTATAGTCTACAATGTGAACTTGAAAATAGAAACTAGCCAGATGCCGGATTCGAGATTGTAAAGTTAGAAATGAATGGCCCGATTCATTGCCCTGAACGAAAGAACAATAAAATTGCTGGGAACTCATAAACTCCGCTATAATAAGCGCTTGTTTATAATAGAACACGTTTCAAGGACTACTCCGAACTGAAGCCACACGAATCAAATCTCATTATATGGTGCCGCAATATCGCCAGAGAAGCCATTCTCTCTTAGTCCCACATGTTGACATCGAATATCACTAGACGAGCTTAATTGCCCAATCGATCAATGCAAATGCAAAGTGCAAGGGTCAAACATTCTCCTCTAGGATTCTAAATACTTAAATCACTGTTCGATTCTTGGCTATATACGTATACGCTCCTAAAAAACAAAGTTTCTTGGCCAAGCTGTGAGCAGACACAAGACTATTCGGAACCAACGAAGCAGCCATAACATACTTCAATAACTTAGGTCATTCAATTAACATTAGATTAACATTCAATCATGGAAACTATCAAGAAAACTCTTGCACCTCACATGATTTCCTATAGGGATGAACCAATTGTGGTGTTAGGATTAGGAGGAGCAAACATAGTCGACCACATCATCTTCAAAGTCTATAGCTCACCAGAGACAACTTGGTCAAACAACGTGTGCCTCTAAACTTGTTCGACAGCAATAATAACCCTGCTGTTACCATTTTCAATCGGAATTACACGGTATAAAAACGTACGCCAAGTTCAACCTGACTAATAACCAAGCAGCCATCAGAGCGTTGAGCTCCTCTAATATCAATAAATTCTAAGATGCCATCTTTCGAATTGGATAAAAATAGGCAGGAACAACGAAGTGATCCTCATTAGGGAAATTTCTATGTCCAAGAAGAATTCGATGAAGTGGATGAAGCATTCATGCCGACTCGAAGAATGCCTAAGGAAGCTTGGGCTCAGAGGAGGATGGCACCTGCAGATTCTGCTAGAAAAAACACCATATTCTGGTGGAATGCGGTGATGTACTTCATAAAACTCTATGGTATCGCACTAGGTAACTATGGAAGAAACACCACAGATTAATGCTCTCGAAATCTTGACATTCCTGAAGGAAAGAGCTACTGTAAACAGTCTCTAATTCGCCAGAGACAAGATAAACTCTGATACTTCAAACGTGGAAATGAATATAAGTAATAGATTCTGTGAACAAGATATACTTAGGAAGGTGAGTGTGAAAGAAATGCCATGGATCTTCCTCTCGAAATCCTGAAATGTCTTGAAGAGTTCGAGCTCGAGGTACTACTGTGAACAGTCTCTGATTCGCCGGAAATGATAATCTCTGATAGGTACCTCAGTCATGGAAATGAATACAAGGGAAAGACCCTGTGAACAAGACTGTGGAAGAAATACCACTCATAATTATTTCTCTCGAAATCCTGAAGTTTCTGATAGAATTTGGGTTTGAGGGGCTGCTGTGAACAGTGATACCCTCTGATAGCTCAATCATGGAAATGAATATAAGGGATAGACCCTGTGAACAAGATACCTAGGAGGGTGACTGCGTGGAAGAAAAACCACTGATATTTCCTTTCAAAATCCTGAAATTTCTGAAAGAATTGAGGTTTGAGGTGCTGCTGTGAACAGTTTTCAACTCACCAGAGACATGATCAATCTCTGATACCTCAATTGTTAAAATAAATATAAGGGATAGACCCTGTGATCAAGATATCTAGAAAAGAGATTGTGAAAAAAAATAACACTAATGTTTCCTCTCGAAATCATGCAATTCCTGAAATAATTAGAGATTGAGGGTCTGTTTTGAACAGTGTCTAATTCGCCAGAGACAAGATAACCACTGATACCTCGATCGTGGAAATAAAAAATGGAAGCAATCTTTCGAAAAATATGGTGAAACCTTAGCCGTGGCACTTGATATCTCCAAGGCATTCGATCGAGTCTGGCACCACGGACTCCTCGCCAAGCATCCATCTTATGGCTTGCTTCCCCAGCTATGTTCTCTGCTATCTATTTTCGACGGAATTTCATCTGACTCTCTTATCATAAATGCTGGTGTTCCGCAAGGATCAATTCTAGCACCAACACTATTTCTACTCCATACCAACGATTTGTTGGAAGCAACTTCATATCAAGTACATAACTTCGAGGATGATAGTACCCTCCATACCGCCTTCTCTTCCAGGGCTCCAATACCAGCCAGGCAAATCAGAAACGAACGAGGAAGAAATGTTGACAACATGAATATGAACTTTCAATGCAAACAAAACACAAGCATGCCTTTTCTCTAGAAAAGCCCTCAATCTCTCTGTGCCCAATATAAGCTTACCTGGAGTAACCATACCTTTGAACACATCAATTTCGATGCTTGGTATTACTATCAGCAATAACCTTTCTTGGGAAAATCACGTGAGATTAATTGCTAGAAGTGCATTCCAAAAACTTGGTTTTCTATTTCGAGCCAGGAGCTGTTTCACTTCCATCAGTCAGCTTCTTATGATCTATAAGGCACAGATCCGACCTGTCCTGGAATACTGTTCCCATATTTGGAGTGCAGCACCCAAACATACCCTGAAACTGTTGGATTCTGTCCAAAAAAAGGACAATTCGTCTCAAGGGCGATGCCTCGCTCACAAACTCACTCACTTCTCTGGAACACCGTAGAAAAGTTGGAGATCTGGCTCTATTTTATCGATATATTTCCATGGACGATGCTCTCCTGAAATATCAACAATTGTTGCTCTCTTGGCAGTCCCCGCGAGATTAACCCGTCGAGTTGGAGCTTCGCACCCCTTCGTGGTCACTTTGGAGACCTGCAGAACATCTCTTTCCAAAGACTCGTTCATCCAACGAACAGTGAGGCTCTGGAACACATTGCCCATTGCCAAGGGAGGTGTTCCCCGAGGCATATAACCTTCATAAACTCAAGAAGAACACCAATTCCTACATTATTTCCTTTGGTTCTCACGATGTTCTCTGAACATTACAGGATATCCCTTTTCGTGGGAACCAGAACATGAAAAAAGTACCATGGATAGGCTCTGTGAAGTGTGAACAAGGTACCAACGAACAAACATCATCAACATACGTTCCAAACATAGAGCTACTCACCATCCGAATCGTCATCATACCAAACAGCTGACCCACCCTCCTCCATCCCCTCCAAACACCGCAGGCAGAAGGTGTGCAGACAGGGCAACACCCTCGGGTCCTCGTACCGCCTCCCGCAGGAGGGACACTCCAATCTGGCCGCCTCTCGCTCTAACCTAGCCGCCTCAGCCTCTCGAGGCTTCACCGCCGTGGCCTGCTTCTTCGGCTGGTGGGGCGTGGAGCGGCAACGGTCGTGGTGGGGAAGGAGTTGGGGGGCGGGGTCGACGGCGGCGGACCGCCTCTTGGAGGAGGAGGAGGTGGAGGAGGAGGGGGTGAGGTGACGGCGGCGGGCGAAGCTGCCGAAGATGTAGGTGATGCGGTCGATGTCCATCATGATATCTGGAATGAAGCACCATCAAATATTGGATTATGCAAGGAATCAATAAATACGAAATATATCCATGGTGAAAATATAATATGGTGTTTTTGGATGTATGATAAATTGAAGATCATCATACAGGACATGGAAAGAAATTCTGAATTGAGATAACCTAATCACGAATCTGCGGTTGAGGTCTATAAAAATAACAACTTTCCATCGTTCGACTTTGAACCCCTTGATTGGGTTTAAGTATTGAGAAGGAATATTCTGATATACTTATGAACACAAAAAAATTGATATATTTATATAAAGAAATACATTGAGAATTCATATTCTCCATGTGATGAAAATATTAATTCTTTCTCGGTTTATTCAACAGAAAACAACTACTTTCCAGGCTATATGCCACGACGAACATTGAACTACATCTATTGAACACACACGATAAGAATTTGAAAACAAAATCTTCTGAAATAGAGAATTTGCATTCTCCTTCAAATAAATATATGCACATAATATCATTCTGAAAATTCAACAGAAAAAAGTGCCTTCCCAATAAACGTTTTCAAGCATTTTTATAAAACATATATAGCTAGCGACTATGAGAACACTATAATCAGCCTATATCATTCTCCAATGAATTAATTTTTCAATTCGAAATGTTGTACAGCTGCGCATATCAATTAGTTTTCCAAGTAAAGATCATGTAGTGATCATACATCTATAATGAACAATAATCATTATTGTGATGTAATCAAAAAGTATAGACTATTTTATATGCATTTCAGGAATTTAAAGGGTACTTTAAATCCTTATTTTCAGGGAAAAGAATGGTACCTCAAATCCCTATAGGGATTCAAAGTATATTTTAAAACCCTATAGGTACTTAAAGTACCACTTTTTTCCGAAATCTACATCGCCATAGTTACTGAGGTCGTTGATATGGTAACAATCAGCCCCTTTGATGACGTTTTAGAAATAGAGTATCTACCGTTTATATTGGCATTTAATTTTTTTCTCATATTTTTAACGTTTATCCTAAAGTGCATAAAATAGTATATACTTTTTGTCTCGGAATTTAAAATACCACTTTAGTCCCTAGGTGTATAATGTACTATTTTGTTCAATCAGGTTCAATTTTTTGTCAATTCATTTTGAAACTTGGCGTCATTTTTCGACATTCAATCACTATTTAATATACTATAATATACAGGGTGTCCGGAAATTAGGCGCAAAAAATCAAGGGGGTGATTCTACATGATAAAATAAAAATTTCATTTCATATATACGTGGGTCCAGAAATGCATAGTTTTCAACATACAGTGTGTTAAAACTTTTTAAAAAGTTCGGTTTTTTATGAATATCTCAAATGTCCTTCCACTGATTTTCTTGAAATTTGGCAATGATATTCCTTGTCATGAGGGGCTGATATAGTGATAATTCAATCGGAATTATGAAAGCCAGTGGCGTCCCAGGGGGCAACCTACCGAATATTATTGTCAATAAAATGTGCGCCACTGATTTTTTTGAATTCTTTATCTTCATAACCTATTGACCAACTAAGAATACAACTTTTTGGTCTCCTGAATTATTCTGAAAATTTGCTTCATTTCCATGGAAAAAAATAAATACCAATTTATTGCATGAATTTGTGCCAAAAAATTCCTCTAAAAATTGGGGTGAAAATAAATGCGCGATCAATGTCCATAGACATAGAATAAGTATGAAGATTCATTTTCTTCAAATATTTCTTGATACATGTTTGACACACTCTACACTCTGTAATAGAGAACTATGTATTCTCGCTCCAGGGAGGCGCAGTTTTCGATAATACAAAGTGTGTCAAACATGTGATATGAAATATTTGAAGAAAATGAATCTTCATTCTTATTCTACGTCTATGGACATGGATCACACATTTAATTTCACCCCTGTTTTTGAAGCTTTGTTTTGCACAAATTTATGCAATGAATTGATATTTATTTTTTTCCACGGAAACGCAGCAAAATTGCAAAACAATTCAGGAGACCAGAATGTTATATTCTTAGTTAATCATTAGAATATGACGATGTAGAATTTGAAAAAATCAGTGGCGCACATTTTATTGACAATAATATTCGGTAGGATACCCCCGGGACGCCACTGGATTTCCCAATTCCAATTCAATTATGGCTAAATAAGCCCCTCATGACAAAGAATATCATTGCCAAATTTAGAGAGAATCGGTGAAAGGATATTTGAGATATTCATAAATAACCGAATTTTTCTAAAAAGTTCGACACACTGTATCTTGAAAACTATGCATTTCCGGACCCGAGTATATATGAAATAAATCTCATGTTTTCTCATGCAGAATCACCCCCTCGATTTTTTGCGCATGATTTCCGGACACCCTGTAGAATGAATACGAAAAATTTTGACCCCTTTCAAACTCATCCTTATGAGCATTAACACGTGCTTTCTTCTTTTCAGACCATTTAGCACAACATCTGCGGCATATTATTCATTTTCAGAACATACCAGACATTTGGAACATGGCTTTTCGTTATCCTATCCATCCTATTCTAATTATCAACAACCAACCCCTCTGGATATTTGTACTCATAAACTTTTCCCCGTTCATATAGGATATACCAAAATAAACTAGAAGCCATCAGAGGTTCAGGTATTCGACATAATGTCAAGTTATGAATTCTCAAGAAGATGTATGATGATTCTAAAATGTTTCAAAATCATATTTTGATTTGAAAAAAGAGGTGGGTAGAAAAATTATAGTACCTAATATAACTAGGTATTCCTGGCAAAATAATCAAAACATTATCAAATAATTCTATTTTGCGAAACCTAAAAATATTCGTAGTGTTTTTTCACGTCATACATATTTGTGTTTCAGATTTGAAGTAATTTCGTAATGTATTGCGAAAATAGATTTACTATAACTTTCATTGAGGAAGCACATTTGGCTGATGATGAGATCCCGAATGAGATCCAAACACTCGGGACGAAAAAGTCGAATTCAAGCATAGGAAGGAAAATATTGATAGGTATTAGGTACTATACTATACAGGTTGTTACAGATTGTATTCGGCAAAATTCAATGAGCGATAGAACTCGTAGAACGTATTGAAATTAAAACAAACATCTTTCTTATTTACCGTCCAAAATCTCCTCAGCTGATTTTCTACAAACTTGTCAGATTTTTTGAATATGTAAATGTATCTTTTTCCTGAATTTATTTCGTTTTCTTACCATATAGGTACTTTCATGATTCTCACTGATAATCGAGCTTATAGTATAGGTAAGTATAGTCGTTTCACCCTTTGAATAATCAAGGGTGTTAGTAAAAAATGTTCCTAGTTCTCGAATTATATCTTCTATTTTTGAGTAAGTACAGGAAATATCCAATTGGTAATTCGAAAATATATATGGGAGGGTCGCATACAGAATATTTGCCACCTAAATATATAAAGATTTTTGTGGTATATTTTGAAATACGAAATGAGTTATTTGTTTCATTCGTGAACTTTTTTGTCTTTTGTGATTTGCTAGATTCAATTATTATTTTTTAGAAAAAGTATAGGAACCTATATGTTATATCACAATTAAACCAAAAAACGCTACATATTAAGTTCTTGATAAAAATTACAAGTTTCCAAATATTATCTATATAAAATATAAGAAACCGAACGAAACCTCACTTTTATACACTCACCGGCAAAAAAAATCGGCAACCAAAACATTTAGCCAAGCTATTCATCCTGTAACTTTTTCAATTCCTGTCCGATTTTGGAAAAATTTCGACCAAATCGTTTATTCATGTTTCAGAATGTTGGCCTGAATATTGGTTCCTACGAGAAGCTGATGGCTTGATCATTATGCAAGCAAAAACAAAAGTTACTCTTTCACCCTCAACCTCTTAACACCCTGTGGCAAAGGTGAGTGGTTAAACTTAGCTACATCATGTTTTCGATTGATGTGATCCCTTCTTTATAACACAATGATTTTTCATTCACATGATAACCACTCCTTTATGGATTTCAGAACCATTCTCCAACCTTCTTCTTCATCATGTTTTGAATTGAAGTGTGATCCTATTTCGTCTCTTCTCAACACAATAGTTCTAGATTCACGTCAATATCTTATTTTCAAGATAAGAAACAAGTGTTTTAAGAAAGTATGGAATTTTTAATTTTTTTTTTTTTTTTACAATAATTCAGAACCAATAGAGCATCTTATAGGGATGAACTCCAGAGACTCATTCGTCTTCGTGCGGCCTTGTCAGAGAGCTATGATTCGCCCTTCAAGGAAAATTGAGGCAATAATTTTCCCGACAATTCTTCATGACTACTTTGGAAATTTGGTAATTAATGTTTTTTCTGGTAAGTGCTACAAAAATGAGATGGAAATAAGTGATACTCATTTCCTAAGTTGTTAACCAATACGTATAAATGTAGGTTCTGACATGTTCTGATAAGAATGTAAAAATGCCATACTTTCTCAAAACACTCGTATCTTCTCTTGAAAATAAGATCATGACGTGAATCAAAAACTATTGAATAAAGAAAGGATCACACTTCAATCCAAAACATGATAAAGCCAAGTTCGACCACTCAATTTCGCCACAGGGTGTTAAGAAGTTAACTGCGAAAGAGTAGGTAAATGATCAATTCATCAGCTTTCCAAGGAAACTAATATTAAGGCTAACATTCCGGAACATAAATCTACGATTTGATCAAAATTTCACAAAAATCGGACGAGTATCAAAAAAATCACAGGGTGAACAATTTAGGCAAATTTTTAGTGGCCGTTTTTCTGCCGGTTAGTGCTGGAAAAAAAATCTTAAAACTTCAACGCGCTCTGTACACGGTAACTATGCGTTTGTGGGCACCATAGGAAAAAAGTCTTATTAATTTTCACCTGAAAAATATGTCCCTGAAATCTTGATAATGAATTTTGAAACATCCTGTATAGTATGATTTAGTTATATTTTGAATTATGAGTTATGTTTTCGATAGATCATATACGAAATTCATGATTAGATTATACATTTTTCCACTCACCTCTCGAAAAATCACTTCACCGTGAAAAAACACCACGAACAGAAATAATGAATAAAAACAGACGCTGGGCGTCTCAACGCCATCCCATTCCCTAGCCGACTGGATGCGAGTTTCGATAATTCTATTTATTTGCTCTCACGTGGCACACACATAAATCCGTTCTGAGTGATATACGGGGCGATATGTGAGTGACAATAATTCTCCACGACGCGGTGCTAGCAAATGAAACGTTAAATACGAAGGTTAAAAAACAAAAGAAAAATGAAAAACGGCGTTACTTCAAACATCTTCAAAGAAAGGGGTGGATTGAGTTCAAAAATCGCTAAGAAAATTCTGGATTTTTAATTCACACAGAAGAGCTAAATTAAACATAAATGAAAGATAGGACCTCTATAATTAGTAAACGAATATACGTAATAGAATTTGGTAGATTTCCTTTTTGAAATCCTCAATTCATACACTGAGGAAAATTGTGCTATTAGAGATTTTGCTGAGATATTTCTTGCTACCATTACAAGAAATCCTATTACCGTTACACATTTTCTAATAGAAGCAGCACATTGAAATTCTATGATAATAACAACTTTACTCTGGGACAGCATGTTTTTTTTCCTAATTGCGTTCAGCTGAATTACTACTATGGCTGCATCAAGGTTCATCGCATAAAACTGCACTCAGTACCAATAATCATTCAATTTAAAAAACCAATAATGCAACTGTCCGCATGCGACGAAATAGTATATTGTGCAACAAGTCGGAAAAGTGCTTTTCCCCACATGTTGCACACTATACTTTTTCTACAACTGCACTTATTCAAAGAATTCGAGTACCTAATGTAGCTTAATGGTATTCATTTTATAATGTGGCACTATGTCACATTCAATATTGTGACCAAAGAGTAAGACGCCTTTCCTAGTTCCTCAAAGTATTTCAAAAAAGTACACTTTCCGAAAAAGATTTTATTTCTGTATTTTTTCAGATCCCATAAATTCTTCGTTTCTGCCAATTCATACTTTTTTCTTGAAATTTCCGGAAACAAATCCAACTTTCGCAGCTTCTTCCATTATCCCTCTCTGGCGGTGTATTTTTTAAAATCGTCACATCTCGGTTGGGAAAACCCATGTACCAGGTGAACAACTAAGAACGGCTGCGTCGGCGTGATTTGGAGTGTCAATAGATATCGTGAATTGAAAATGTAATGTATGCATATCATTACAAGATCAAATAGAGAAACTAAATCTCGACAGACCAACGAAAAGTGCAACATGATAGCTTTTCGGTAACGGAAGATATTGACGATCAAAGTTGGAAAAAGGATTGATGAAAGCCGTTCTTAGTTGTTCACCTGGTACATGGGTTTTCCCAACTGGCAATGATATTGAACATGTCTGACAAATGCTCATAGAGGGAGAAAAATCAGTAAAATATCGAATAACGATAAGTAGGCGCTGAATAACCCCAAGTATAGGTTCGTCAAATATTATTTTTCTACTACTGCTATGAAAAGTAGCACATTTCTCATAGCTAACTTAGTTTCAAAACCATGTATTGCTCATACTGTGAGAAATATTTTTTCTCACGGCACTTTGCCAACACCACATACATTTCCATGGAGAAAAAACAAAAATCAGTTATGAATACTTCCTCTCTTCAATTCAATTCATTATTCAGAATCTGAATCTGAATCCAAATAAAGGGTGATAACATATTTGAACAAATGAAAATCTTCAGTGTACCTTTCAGTGCTTTCGTAGGGGAGTGTATAATCTCTGGTATATCTGAGTGCTTTCATTATTACCAGGTTGATGGAATGATTAAGGTGAGTTTGTTCAAGGTATTTTGACTGAAATATTAATATTTTACATTGAAAAATTCCTCCTTTTTGGTCAAATCAAACTTTAAAATTATCAAATTGGGTGAGTGAATCAATTGATCTATTGAATTTCAAATATAATTCAAGTATATTTCAATTCGCCCCCTGTTAGTGAGTCGATGAAGCAGGTTAATGAAGATACCTTCATATATTATTACAGGATTTTGTAATTCTTCCAAATTTTCAAAGCGCCATCTAATAGTGCAATGGTGGAAATCATCGGAAATTCTTTCATCTGTTACAGGAGTCTGTAATTCTGTTCGCAGATTATCGGAGATACTTAGTACGTTCTGGTACGTTATAGAAATCTGTATTTTGGACTCTGTAAAAATAATTTTTGGTAGCAACCTGTAAAATTGCTATTGTAAGTATTGGCTCGGAGAACACTGTAATATTACTTAAATAATAGCGTTTAGCAGGAATCTTTCTGAGATAAGTAACCTAAAAATATTGATACCCATTTTTCTGAACCTCCTGGGCTCCGTGCTTATTTTAGATTATGAAATCCTTCAAAATGGATAAATCTAGGATTGATTTGATTTATAAAATCATTGAATATCAAAGATTCGTGCCTATTCACACACATGATATGAATACAAATAATAATTATGTTCATGTTATGTTGATATCCTGTTTGGCTGTGATTTTATTTCCACCATTCCACCACAGCTCAACCTTGTTCGAAATTGCCGCCTATTTCACCGCCTCACCGGAAGCAAACCGAGATAGAAGATATGGCCCTCTCGGCTTATCGATCGTTTACAAGCTTCCACATCGTTCGCAAAGCTTCTAGAACAATCTGGAATGTTCGAGAACAAAGTAGGTTATAAAAGCGAACGACAAAACGCGATCGCGTCATTAAGTAAATCAGACGTTGCCGAGAGAGTATTGAAGTTTCGAGTGACATCCAACGCAATTTCCAAGCCATTTTTCTGAGATTTTTCATTATAATAGTGTGAATTGTGTGAAAAATAAGCCAAGGTAAGCATTTTCTCTTTCATTAATTCATTATTTTTGTGGTAATTCACGGATTTTGTTGGAATTCTCGAATTTTTGACTGCACGTGTTTGCCGGTATCTCGGCAATTTTTCATTATTCTGAATTTCCATCAATTTTGATGTTAATCGATTTAATTTGGCATTTTTTTGTGATCATTGACTAAAATATCGTTTTTTCGAGGATTCCATCATTGCCACTCCCTGCTGGCAATTTTTCCTTTTTTTGTTCTTTTGTTGAATGAATTTCAATTCATTTCATCGCATCATTGAATTTCATCGGTCCGTTGTACATCTATTATAGGTAAATGGAAGTAATTTGTTTTTATTTTATGTATTTTATGTAACTACCTACCTTTTATGTATATTTTTCCTCATCCTCAGTTGGTATTTTCGCACCAACAATGACACATCAATATCTTGTTTTAATACTACCTAGGGTGTTTTCAAAATTGAGACGATACACGAAATCGAGTGTAATAGGAAACGAAATAACAGGTTTTTGTTTAAAAAAATATTTTGGAAGATACCTAATGAGCTTCAAAGTTTCCCTGAACGTTCATTTATTGTACTTGAAAAGACGTGGCATGGTGAGAGTGCACATTTTTTCAAAATATAAAAAGAAATATTCATCCCTACCTATATATTTTATTTATCATATCATTCCTTATACCTATCTTTTACGATTTTGGAAAAACCTAGGCACACCTAGGTGTTTCTTTTCGGCGCCATCTATTAGTTAATTAGTGGATAGGTATGGAAAATTTGAAATCAATTTTTTTTTTGCTTCGTAAACTTATTAGTTAGAAATTTTGGTAAAATTGCATTTATCATGCAATGGGTTTTTTGTCAAAACAATTTTTTGATACTTACGTATTTTTGTCTGAAAAACACGAATTTGATAATGAAAATGTGAACAAACCATTATTTATTAAGATATTCGACTATAAAGTTACAAATTTCGCCTTATTTTTCGCCTGTCTTCTGGATGGCATTTAGAACAATTTTCCCTTCTTTTTTCATCATATTGGACAATTTATATATATCACAATAATATATGACATATTTTTTTCTATTATATGATTCAACTATGAGTGTGATCGTCTTGAGATTTATCCATATTTAGTTAAAAGAAGGAAGAATATCATTTAAAATAATGGCATGGGTAATGTCATTCCAAAGAAATCTATTGACATTTGACATCTCGTATTTTGATTGACTATTGATTTAATGGTTGTCATCTGGAATGCTTGTTCACTAAATATGAAAAACTCGCCATAAAAATCATATATTTCCTGTTGAATTTTTGGTAAAACTGCATTTATCATGCGATGGTATTTTTTTCGAAAATTTTTTTTGGTACTTACGTATTTTTGTCTGAAAAACACGAATTTTATAACGAAAATGTGAACAAACCACTATATATCGAGACATTTCAAGAAAAAGTTCGAAATTTCGCCTTCTTTCTCCCCTTGTGTTGGGGGCATTTAAAGCTACTTGCTCTTCTTATTTTGTCATTGGACACTTTATATACTTATGATGTACTTCGATGATACATTTTTATATAGAACATTCGGTAAAACTGCACTTTTCATGCGATTTTTTTTTCGTTTGTTTTTGGTACTTGACGTATTTTTGTCTGAAAAACACGAATTTGATAATGAAAATGTGAACAAATCATTATTTATTGAGATATTTCACTATAAAGTTACAAATTTCACCTTCTTTTCCGCCTGTCTTGGATCGCATTTAGAACAATTTGCCCTTCTTTTTCCATTGGACAATGTATAGCGGATGTCCCAAGTTATCGTATACAGGCAATATCTCGCTTATTTGAAAGGATGATTGAAAAATTCAAAAACTGCATTGAATGGCATTGAAGTACAACCTACCTTCCAAATGACATAAAAAAATCTATTACATTTGACAGTTATTCAGCAGCTAGCACCCACTTTTTATTTTCAAATGGCACCCCCTGCATATTGTCATTGGAAATTACTTGTCATTCAATTTAGAATACAAGGATAGCATATACTTGGTATTTTTTATTGATAACAAAAATATCAACATTTTGTGACTTGCTTCATGTTACTCAATTATCCTTTTGAAAATGAAAAAAATTCTCCGCTTACCGCTTATGTTTTTTGTTTCAAAAAGCCGATGCTTTGGAACTTGCTGTGAGTGATAGTTCGGTTTTTGATTTGCATAAAAGTTTTTTTAGTTGAAATTCATACATAAATGTTGCTATTTTTGTTGTTTTAGTAATAAAAAAATACCAAGCATATGCTATCCCGAGTGCTATCGTTTTAGGATGACACGTAATTTTCAATGACAATATACAGGGGGTGCCATTTGAAAATGAAAAGTGGGCGATAGCTGCCAGAGAACTGTCAAATGTAATAGACTTTTTATGCCATTAGGAAGATAATTCAATGCCATTCAATGCAGTTTTTGAATTTTTCAATCAACTTATCAAATAAGCGAGATATTGTCTGTATTCGATTACTTATTTGGGACTCCCGGTATATCACAATAATGTACTTCAATGACACATTTTTTTCTATTATATGAGTCAACTAGAAATATGATTTTCTTGCGATTTATCCATATTTAGTGAAAAAAGGAAGAATATCATTTAAAATAATGGCGTGTGTAATGTCATCCAAAAGCAATCTGTTAACATTTGACATCTCGTATTTGGATTGATTAAATGGCCGTCATCTGGTATGATTGTTCACTAAATATCATACCAGATGACGGCCATTAATCAATAGTCAATCCAAATACGAGATGGCCAATTTCAACTCTTGAAAATGACATTACACACGCCATTATTTTGAATGATAGTCTTCCTTCTTTTCACTAAATATGGAAAAATCGCAAGAAAATCATATTTCTGGTTGACTCATATAATAAAATAAATGTGTCTTTGAAGTACATTGTGATATATTATTATAAATTGCCAATGATGGAAAAAGAAGGGCAAATTGTTCTAAATGCGATCCAAAAGGCAGGGAGAAATGAAGGTGAAATTTGTAACTTTATAGTGAAATATCTTAATAAATAATGGTTTGTTCTTATTTTCATTATCGAATTCGTGTTTTTCAGATAAAAATAAGAAAGTACGAACAAAACGCATCTGCATGATAAATGCAGTTTTACCAATATCAGTATTTTGGAAGTGAAGCGTTTCCGGACATCTTTTGAATCACCCTGTATATCAACCATTATTCCAATAATATTCATGCTAGATAGGTATCTGAAATCTTGCAAGTACACTGAGGGAATCAGTATGCATGAAAACGTTTTATCATTGCGATTGACATACAGGGTGGGAAATATTTTCACTACCTGGTGCCTACTCCATCAGTACTCAGATTCCAATACCGTATTATTCCCCAATTCTCTCATCCATTATTTTTGCGACTTCTGAATTATTGCAAATTTCTACTACATTTTAGAAAATCGATCATATTTATAATGTTTTTACTGGACACGAATTATTTATCCACGGATTTTTTAATACAAGGTGTTAGTTTTTATAAAAAAAAAAAAGATCCGATCAAATCGGCTAAATTTCAGGATTTTCTTCAAAAAAGGAATTGCTCTAAAAATTAGTGAAGTCTTGAGTGTTCCATTGAATATTTGGTGCATAGAGATTGATCCTAAAAAATTGCAATATCTCTCCAGTGGTTTTCTACGATCAAAAATCGGAATTTGATGAATATGTGTAGAGCTTATTATTTTATATAGCAAAAAACTTCGTGTCATCAGATTCACTCCTATAAAAAAATTAAATCACAAAATAAATAAGAGGAAAATACATCAGTTTTATATTGTGAGAAATATTTTTCAGTTGTGATTTCTCATTATATGCGTAATTTATAAGGTACTAAATTATTCAAAAAATTTATAATATGCCAAGAACATTCGAAATATTCAATAAAGAAAGCCCTTTCCAGTTTGATATTCCCGTCAAAAAGTCATAATTAGTCTCATTGTATTTGGCATACAAGGTTCAGAATTTCAATTTTTCATAATTTTTAATATATTTATACACAGGGTGATTCATTATTTTTCCAAAACATGTGAGCAAGAATAGGTCGCTACAATTTTACCCAAGCCAATAATAAAGATTTACTTGAACAACCACCTTGTGTAAGAAGTTTTGTACATGTGTTGAAGTTGTAGGGGTTCAATTCCTATGAGGGGTGGTGTTGGATGGAATGGTTTAGATGATATTTTTTTGTTCAATATGATGTCTCATTTGACTTCCATTTCTTGGATCGTAGTTTCTTTTGATAATTCCTGAGACGCTGAATAGAGTTGGGACAGTATGTCAATGAAATTTTGTTTATAGTTATTTATAATTCAAGGGAAAAAGTATTAGTGTTGAGAGAAAAAAAAGAGGTTATCACCATCTGTCCTTGTCTTCAGTGTTTCCAACGTAAAATAATGAAAATTTTATGTTGGTAACATTGAAAATAGGAAAAATTGAAAAGACCATCTTAACGAGGTTAATAATATGATCTTCATCTCAATTTTTTCCCATTTACAATGTTACTAACATAAAATTTTCATTATTTTATCATATCAATTACCATCATATTAACCTCATTATAAAGAAGATTAGAATGATCTTCTCCATATCATCTCATTTCCAGTGTTGCCAATATAGAATTTTTATTATTTTATGTTGGAACATTGAATACAAGGACAGATGGGGAAGACATTTTTTCTCTCAACGCTAGCTGACCTGCTCTGTTTCACCTTTTTTTTCGCCTGTTTTGGATACGCATTTACAGCTACTTGCCCTTCTCATTTTGTCAGTGGACACTTTATTATGTATAGTCATGATGTACTTCAATGACACGTTTTATATAGGCATTTTCGAAAAAAACCATCGCAGGCTAAGTGCAAAATTACCTTTATTTGTTTCAACCGGCAACAGTTTCTGGCAGTTCTAATTCACAAATTAAATACTAGGAAAAACAATAAAAATGTCAGCATAGCCAGAGATCAGTCACCCACTAAGATACATCTTTCCTGTATAAAATTTGGCCATACATTCCAAGTAGCTTTTGGAATTCAAATATAGATGTCTCTAGTTGCTAGAATTCCATGGAGTGAACTTAGCCGGGGATTCGCAGCCATCTCTGAATCCGACGATGTCCGATCATCTTCGGATCAATCGCAGCAGCGTTTTCTGCCGATTTTGTGGTTATGTATATTCGAGTTTCGCTGCTTCTTTCGACCCACTTGTTCCCAATGAACTCAATGAGTTCATTGCTTGTTTCTGTTCTGCGTGTTGTCTTCGCTGGATTGATTGTGCATTTGTGCCATCCATATTGTGTTTATTCTTCATTGAAGAAAATATACCTACTGTAGTATTTCTAGATTCTCCTCTGCTGTGTTGTTCTGTTGTTTTTATAGTGCTGGTGTGTGATTTTCAGTTAAAGAATTCAGTTACTGATATCTGAGATAAAGGGTGTTCAAAATCGAGATTTTTCAACTTTAGGATTTTTTTGTGTCTAAACTATTCATTATTGGTCAAAACGGCTCCTATTCATCCATCTCAACTTCTAATTCACTATCTACTGACATTTAAATGGAACATTTACAGGGTGGTTCAAGATTCAGAATCCTGATCACTATCTGTATCTGTTCCAATTATTAAATGTCAGTAGATAGTACATCAAAAATTAAGCTACGGACATAAAATCCGTTTTGACCGATAATAAATAGTTTCGTCACACAAAAATCCTAAAGTTGGAAAATCTCGATTTTGAACACCCTATATCTCTGTAATCATTTCCGCTAGACCCCAAGTGTGATACATTGATCAAATCAGCTCTTCAGGGAGAATCTAAGAATACAATGAAAAATAGGGTGTTCTATTTAAAAAAATCAAAAAGTACCCTGTAGATCGTTTGATCCGAGCACCCTGTATTTTCTGATGTAGCAAAAAAAACTTTATCGAAAATCATTTAAAATGGAATTTCAAATTTTGAAATCGGTCCAAAGATAACTGAGCTAGAGGGGGGAGATTTATGGTGAATCACCCTGTAGAAGCTGTAGAAAAAGTAGAAATACAGTGTTTCGAATCCCTTAGTCACACATAAATAAAAAAGAGCACTAAGAGCAGTAATTCATTTCTGCAAAGATATGTACAGGGTATCTCCAATTCGAGGATTTGACATTTTCGCAGCCATTTTTCCTTCTCTACAAGATGCCGTCATCAGAATTTTGATCCGACATTTCGTTTCCTCGTAACCATCATCAAATAACAGTGATGATGATTTTTGAGTGAACATTTTTTTTGGACCATTCAAAAAAACAAAATTGATGATGGCTTCTCGAAGACGAAACGTCGGATCACGAATCTACCAATACCATTGGATAGTGCGGGTAATGGATATGAAACTTATTCTGTCATATCACTTTTGAATAGAATCGGATCATAATTCCGAATCGGATCATAATTCCAAAAGTTGTCCCAATTTTGACAAAAAAAAATCATAATCTCTAACCCCGAAAATCCTCAAATACCAATTTTGAATAAAATCGGATCATTATAATTACAAAACTCGTCCGTCATATTAGATCCGCCATCTTGAATGTTTCAATTTTGACATGAATCATGATCTCCGTCCCCGAAAACCCCCAAATACCAATTTTGAATAGAACAGGATCATAATTACAAAACTCGTCCGCCATCTTGAATTTTTCAATTTTGACATAAGAATCATAATCTTCGACACAGAAAACCCCCAAAATTTTTGAATAGAATGAATCATAATAACAAAAACCGTCAGCCATGTTGGATCCGCCATTTTGTTTTTTCTCAAAAAAAATTCATAATCCATCATCACCAGAATTATGTACATCTGCCGAATTTCAAATAAATCGGACGATAAGAAGTGGTTCAAAAATTGGTTCCATTTTTTTTAATCATTAAACAGTTGTATGGTAAAAATAATCCTCTCATCGAAAGCACTCGGAAGGAATCATGGGTTCGGAAATGAAATTGCTGACTGGATTCCAGGAAATACCAGGTACAAAATAATGGGCTGAACCAGTCCAGTTGACCAACACGGATTATAACAGATATACGCGACGTGATATCAATCATTCAACTAGACCACTGTAAGATTCAAACTGCATTATAATATATTATGAATGTGAGCTGTGCGGCGTGAGCTAACTTCTCCCTACTACTTAATGACCGGGAATTATGGATTTCATATGATTCGTCCTCTTTGCGTCATCTATTAGCGATCAAAGGCACTGTATAGTAGATATATATTGCTGTGGCCAAACCGCCCATTTGAAATGTCTATCTTAGTGGGTGACTGATCTCTGGCATAGCTACCTAGTTGCCAAATATGGGTTTAAAATTTTTCCGTTGGACTAACCTTTTTTTTTTCAATCATTTGCAGATGCCTGAAGAAGTCAGTGAGGTCGAGACCTTCGCCTTCCAGGCCGAAATTGCACAGCTGATGAGTTTGATCATCAACACCTTCTACTCAAACAAGGAAATCTTCCTCCGTGAATTGATCTCCAACTCATCAGATGCCTTGGACAAGATCCGTTACCAATCTCTCACCAACCCCTCCTGCCTGGACAACGGCAAGGACTTGCACATCAAAATCATCCCCAACAAAAGCGAAGGCACCCTCACCCTCATTGATACCGGAATCGGTATGACCAAAGCTGATCTGGTCAACAATTTGGGAACCATCGCCAAGTCTGGTACCAAGGCTTTCATGGAGGCATTGCAAGCTGGCGCAGACATCAGCATGATTGGACAGTTTGGAGTAGGTTTCTACTCTGCCTATTTGGTCGCTGATAAAGTCACTGTTGTGTCCAAGCACAACGATGATGAACAATACATCTGGGAGTCTTCAGCTGGAGGCAGCTTCACCATCCGTTTGGATCACGGAGAACCGATCGGTAGAGGCACCAAGATCATCCTCCACATCAAAGAAGACCAAACTGAATTCCTGGAGGAGAACAAAGTCAAGGAAATCGTCAAGAAGCATTCGCAGTTCATCGGCTACCCAATCAAAATGCTGGTGGAGAAAGAACGCGAGAAGGAGTTGAGCGACGACGAAGCTGAAGAGGAAAAGAAAGAGGGCGAGGAAGAAGACAAAGACAAACCGAAGATTGAAGACGTTGGCGAGGACGAGGATGAAGACAAGAAGGAGGAGAAACCTAAGAAGAAGAAGACCATCAAGGAGAAGTACACGGAAGACGAGGAGCTGAACAAAACCAAGCCAATTTGGACCCGAAACGCTGACGACATCAGTCAAGAAGAATACGGAGAATTCTACAAATCCTTGACCAACGATTGGGAGGATCACCTAGCTGTGAAGCACTTCAGCGTGGAGGGTCAACTAGAATTCCGCGCCCTCCTCTTTGTCCCCAGAAGAATTCCCTTTGACCTCTTTGAGAGCAAGAAGCGCAAGAACAACATCAAGCTCTACGTCAGAAGGGTCTTCATCATGGACAACTGCGAGGATCTCATCCCCGAGTACCTCAACTTCATCAAGGGAGTCGTCGACTCTGAAGATTTGCCGCTCAACATCTCCAGAGAAATGTTGCAGCAAAACAAGATCTTGAAGGTCATCCGCAAGAACTTGGTGAAGAAGTGCCTGGAGCTGTTTGAGGAGCTGTCTGAAGACAAGGACGGTTTCAAGAAGTTCTACGAGCAGTTCTCCAAGAACTTGAAGCTGGGAATTCACGAGGATAGCGCCAACAGAGCCAAGCTGGCCGATTTGCTGCGTTACCACACTTCGGCTAGCGGAGACGAAGCTTGCTCTCTCAAAGACTATGTCAGTCGCATGAAGGAGAACCAGAAGCACATTTACTACATCACCGGAGAGAGCAAAGACCAAGTCGCTCACTCTGCTTTCGTGGAGCGTGTCAAGAAGCGCGGTTTCGAAGTGGTTTACATGACCGAACCCATCGACGAATATGTCGTGCAGCAACTCAAAGAGTACGATGGCAAAACTTTGGTGTCAGTCACCAAGGAAGGTCTCGAATTGCCCGAAGACGACGAGGCCAAGAAGAAGTTCGAGGAGGACAAGACCAAGTTTGAGGGACTTTGCAAAGTGATGAAGAGCATCTTGGACGCCAAAGTGGAGAAAGTCGTTGTTTCCAATCGGCTGGTGGAGTCGCCTTGCTGCATAGTCACTTCTCAATACGGTTGGACGGCCAACATGGAGAGGATCATGAAGGCGCAGGCGCTCAGGGACACCTCCACCATGGGGTACATGGCTGCCAAGAAGCATCTGGAGATCAACCCGGATCATTCCATTGTGGAGAACTTGAGACAGAAAGTGGAGGTTGATAAGAATGACAAGGCTGTCAAGGATTTGGTCATCTTGTTGTTTGAGACTGCCCTTTTGAGTTCCGGCTTCACTTTGGACGAGCCGCAGGTGCACGCTTCGAGGATCTACAGGATGATCAAGCTGGGCTTGGGCATCGACGAGGAGGAGTCTATGTTGACGGAGGAGGCGCCCTCTTCCGGGGATGCTCCTGCTGCTGAGGCTGGGGATTCTGAGGATGCTTCTCGCATGGAGGAGGTGGATTAAGTTGGCCTGGTTTATTGGGAGCATGTGTTTTAATGTGTTCTCTGCTGCTGCTGGAGAGAGTTGATTCCTTGATTTTGTACATAATTTACTTACTGTAACAAAGTCTTGCACTGAGTATTGATATTTGATACGATTTTTCTCATTGTACTGTTAGCTACTTGAGTAGTTTGGCTGTGTCGAATATAATCTTCTACGACCAGGAATGCGATTCGGCGATTGTACTGATTTCCTTTTTCCAATAAACTTGTTTAATTTTTTTTTTAGATTTTATTTTTCCCTTTCCTTCAATTTGAAATGAGTATTATTTTATAGTAAAAACTAATAAATAATATTGCAAATAGATTATGAAAATATGATATATGATGAATTATTTCATATCAATATATGAAGGATTTATGGTCCATACCAAAAATATTTCTAACTGCAGTTTATTATGATTTCTTGCAAATTTTGTTGAATTAAAAGTTCTTTGATCCTAATGCTGCGAAGTTTGCTGTACTTGGAATTATGACATAACTTCGTTAAATTTCATATTTTAGACAACTTTACATGAGAAATTCACTGCTCAAGCAATAAATGTTCTTGGATTTTCGGAAATTTACCTTTCCATCGAATACATTTAAATTCTTCATTGATACCTATCTTTGCATAATTTTGAGTCCTAGCAGCTCAAATTGTTGATCAAGCAAAATTTCACTATCCAGCCAATGTAAAGCCTTTTCATTCAAAATAATTGTTTTGCATAACTGTCTAGTTTTATTTTTGCAAAATGTCAGTGTTTGCTTTCGATTCACTTGCAAAATGTTAATTTCAAACAAATGTTCCTACAAAATAGTGCCTTTGAAAACATGTTTCTGAAAAATTCTAACTATTTCAATTCTAAGCAAATGTTCTTGCAACATTTTACTCAGGCCTACTAATTTTGTGAAAACTTCACAAACGATAAGATTTGCACAAAATTTTGTGGAAATCTTATCGTTTGTGAAGTTTTTTACAAGACTAGTAGGCCTGATGAGATTTCCAGAAAATTTTGTGGAAATCTTATCGTTTGTGAAGTTTTTACATTTGCCATGGATTTCCATCATGCAACGGCTGTCAATTGAAAAAAAAACTGCTAGTCTTGTCAAATTGTCGTTTGAAGATAATTATGATAAACACCTAATTCAAAAGAAATATATTCTTTCCACAAGCATACAAAACACACGTAACCCTAACATTACAAGAAAAAACATTTCTCTACAAAGTGGGCGTCCGCCTGTACCAAAATCTCGCCCTCAAATCGTCCGAGCAGGTCAGAAAGGAGGCCTGTGAGGGCGAGTGTGCGATCCGCCTCACTCCTCCTGCAAAATTCTGCTGTAATTGAATGTTTTACACAAAAATCTGTGCTCTAACATAATTCTTCATTAAAATTCATACTTTCGGCAAATTTTCTTGAGAAATCCGAGATCAAGATAATAGAGAGAGAGAGAACATCTTTATTAGGGATATACCCCAAAAGGCCATTGACCGAAGTCTTTCAGCCCAGTTTACAATTATAATATATAAAGTATGAATATTAATAATAATAGTAATAATAGTTAAATGAGAAAAAAAAAAAAAAAAAAAAAAGTCAATTGCTAATTGCTTTCTTGCTATCCTGTTTGCTGCATCTGGATCAGTCCTTGAAAAATGGTTATTTCTGGAAATTTTCTTTTTCTTGTGTAGTTTTCCGGCATCCCAATAACTTGTGGACTCATCACTGGGATATTGTAGGCGGACTTCGCGAATTTTGTGCTGAGTCTGTGTAGTCGTTGGAGGATGGGTTCTACTTTAGTGGAATTGTATAGTAGGGTATTGGAAGGGTTATGTAAGGGATTATTAGGATGTCGGATTTTAGTTATAGCTCTTAAACAACTTCTTTCTGCAACTTCAATGTGCTTTAGGGTAGTTTTTCTGCATGTGCTGAACAAGATGTAGCTGTATTCAATAAGAGGTCGACATATGGCTTTGTATATTGATGTAGCTGTTGCTGTCTTTATACCCTGGGTCTTGTAAGTCAATCCACGAAAATGTTTGGCTCTTCCAATTGCTTTCTTCTTGACGGCTATTAGATGTTTCTGGAACTTGAGCTTATTGTCTATTAATACTCCAAGATATCTAGTTTCTGCTACTGGTTTTACGGTCTCATTCAGGATATCGATGGTCGGAGAATTGTCCTTTATTTTATGGTGGAAAATCATAAGTTTACACTTCTTCGGATTAGGTAATAGTCTCCAGCCGCAAAACCAATCCGTCAGCGCTGCAACCATAGTCTGGAGTCTGTTCAAGATAATATATTCATGAATTTTTGCAAAACTCGCCTTCAAGCAAATACCTTTGCAAAATGAGTGAATGTGTTAAAATTTTGCCTCCATAGAAACTTCCATGTATTATTTTATTTTTCAGCTAATTTAATTGTAAAATTTCTCATTGAAGCGGATATTTGCATAATTTCCTTTCCTAGTAGCTAATGTTCTTGCAAATTGTTGACAATAAACCAATATTATTGCAAAATATTACTATTCAGCGAATTTTCTAGTGATCAAGGATTAAAGCCAAGAGTTTTACATAACTTTGCTTCTAGCTATGTTTTTTTCAAAGTGTTTGTTATTCATCCACTTGCAAAATTTTGATTTCAAACAAATGTTTGTACAAAATAGTGCCTTTGAAAACATATTTCTGAAAAATTCTAACATTATTTCAATTCCAAGCAAATTTTCTTGCAACAATTTACTCATGCCTATTAATCTTGTCAAATTGTTGAAAAGAATTATGAGAAACATCTTATTAAAAAGAAATATATTCTTTCCACAAGCATACAAAACACACGTAACCCTAACATTACAAAAAATAAACATGTCTCTACAAAGTGGGCGTCCGCCTGTACCAAAATCTCGCCCTGAAATCGTCCGAGCAGGTGAGAAAGGCGGCCTGCGAGGGCGAATGCGCGATCCGCCTCACCGCCCCGTTGTGTCCCAAGGACATGAGTTGCTTCCGGGAAGCGTTCCGGGCGTTCCACGCACACAGGGACGTGGTGGCCTCGTCCGGGAAGAGGACATAGTCCTCGCTGTGGTTGAACACCGCTTGGGCCTCGTATTCCTGTTTGCCGGTCGTTCCGGCACCTGGAAGAAAGGATTTCTAGAGGAACCAACATTGGAGCATGGCTGTATTATTGGGTCTTTCTTTTGATTCAGACCAGGGATTTATGCTCATATTCAATCTGTCATAGCTTATGGTCTAGAACAATGGGGTTTATCTGCCAAATCTCCAGAAGGATTCATTATACAGAAAAAAGCAATAAGAATTAGGGCAGGTGCATCATCCAGAAATCATTGCAGGCCATTATTCATACATTATGATATTTTAACCCAGTTTGTAAATCTACTATCAAATATCTCAAGTATACCCAAAAATGAACAAATTCATGATCATTTCACTAGGAATTATTGTAATCAATTGCATCTACCTCCTAGTAGATTGTCAGTATCACAGAATCATCCCATGTACTATGGAGTTAAGCTGTATAATAATCTCAGTGAAGACATTAAATTGTCTTAAAATCTTAATGTGTTTAAAAGGCAACTCATCATTTTTATTGTGAAAAGCATATTACTCAGTTGGTGAATTTCTCCTGGAATCATGATGTGAGTAAATTATTCTAATGATCAGATTATTTTAATATTTTAATGTTTATTGTTGGTAAATATATTTGTCTAGTAAATCATTGTTTCATACCCATTATCAATTTCTTTTTCTCAAGTTGATGGTTTAGTGTTAATATCAACAATAACTAATGTTCAACTTTCTTAATAAATATATTTATTTTTCATTGTATGACCTGTTGAATTAGCTAGTATTTCACAATGATGTTATGATTCTTTTCTAATGTTCATTGTAGAAGAAAACTTATTCAATAAAAGTTTGGTTGATTGATTGATATCTATCATGAAACAATAAAATTGGAAAAACGGTATTGACATTTGATGTGAACAGCCCTTCTGCCCCCCAAATAAGTCTCAGAATTACATTCTGATATGATATCTCTGACAAGATTGAAAAGAATAGAGAAAGATTAGAGGGAACAAATTATATACAGGATATTATTCAAGTATGTGGCAAAACTTGAAGGGTATATTTTTCAAGTGATTCCAAGTAAAAAAGTTTATGTAAACATGGATACGGGAATACACTGTTATCAAGATATAGGGTGTCAGAGATTTGAAAAAAAAAACTGCTCTTCCATAAAGCAAAAATCTCTGATCCAATTTCCAGTGTTATTTGTAGTAGTAATGTAGTAATTAAGCCATTACCTAATTTACTAGGAACCTATTTTTTTTAAGTTCCACACTGTATTTTGAAAATTATGCATTTCATATTTTCAATCACTAAAAAAATTGCTGCTTGAAGTTTGGCCACATACTTAAATAACACCTTGTGTATAAAAAATTTGGTCATAATGTTGATATAATTTCTACTTTCTGGACAATTCTTGGTCTTTTGAATTTTGATTACCTGTACCTGTGTCATAAGCACCTGAAAATAAAGTATTGAGGAACCTACATGGGAGCATAACTATCTCAGAACAACAAAAACTATAGAATGTTTTTTGCAGAATTATGCATTCAAAGGATCTGCATCCAAAATGTTCTAGACAGATGATAAATAAAATAAGGAATCTATTTTCATTATAAGCAATGTTTCCTTCTAGCAAATCATCACTCAAAATTTTGTTTATGAAATTAATGTTCTTGTGAAATTTTGCTATCAAGTAAATATTGGCAAATTAATGATGCATGTAAGATATCTTGTCAAATTATGATTAGAAGCAAAATGTTTATGCAAAATGTTGTCTGATGTTGCCTTGAAGCAAACAGTCACCCAAAATTTTGTTTCAAGAATGAATTTTGTCATGAAATTTTGCTTTCAAACAAAATAAATGATGCAAAATGATGATTGTAGGTAATTTTCTTTCAACATCTTGACCAGAAGAATGTTTTTCCAAAATTTCTTGCAAGCTTCTGCATCTTATTGAGCAGTCTTTTGTTAAGAGAATGTTTGCATTATTTTGCTTCAGTATGGAGTGAGTTATATTGGATTGAGTGTTCAACTTTTTCAAATTTAATTTCAATCAGAATTTTAATCTGCTGATGAATAGATTTGGTCAGAAAAACAAAATCAACTGAACTCTTACCTGTATAAGCTATCAAACATCTGCTAGTAGTCAACTCCCACAATTTACAGATTGAATTCTTTCCAGAGGAAAGTAGATACTTTCCATTTCTTGAAAATTCCACTGAACATACTTCCAAGCCTTCATGTGCCTTTGGGAAAGTATTGATACATCTACAAGAATCAGAAATTATAAATATTTATTGGACAGAAATTGACTATTCAAATCAGACTTGGGTCCAATACTGAAATCTAGTATTCGAATACGAATCCTGAATACTGTACTCTAAATTGTATTCGAATACTCAAGATTCTAATACAAAGAAAAAAGAAGTATTCAAATACTGATGTATTCGAATACCTGGATTCATTCACATATGAATATTTTATGAATATTCCAAATAAAAAAAAATCATTTGGCACATAAAGCTTGTTTATATTTATGTATGTAGTTTATTTATAAAAATATATAAAAAAAAAATTTATTTCTCACTTTTATTTGAAAAATTATTCAAAATAAAACGATATTCAATTAATGAATGCAACTCAAAATAAAGTAATTTGGTACATTGGATAACAGTAAGGTAACAAAAAATAATTGTTTAGCAAGATCATAATGGAAAATAGTCTCAAATAATGAATAAAACTTGAAATAAAATTCATTCCATTTCAAATAAAACATATAGGAACTAATAAAATATATGTTTGAACATGCTCAAGTTGCGTTAAGCCGGAGCCAATAATAATATTCATAGAAATAATCGAAAAGTATCCGAAAACAGGATTATTTTTAATACCAGGATTTGGATATAGGGATTCGAATACAGGATTTGAATACAAAGTGGGTATTTGAATACTGAGATTCAAAAACGGTATTCAGAATCCAGAATACCGAGTACTGACCAGAAAAGTATTCAATGGAATACAGAATACCACATACACAAATGTATTCGAATAGTATTCGAATACCAGCCAAATGTATTCTGAATAGGATTCAGAATACTGGGTATTCGAATACTACACAAGTCTGATTCAAACAGTGGTTTCTTTTTACCTGTTTGAAACACCATCCCATAACTTGATGCTTCCATCTCTGCTGCAAGTAGCAAACAATTTGGCATCCTTGGACCACTTCAAATTGGTAACAATTTTGGTGTGCTGATGATTTTGGAATGGGCATACAAAACATTGCAAAGTGTTCATGTCATACAATCTAATTACAGGGTGGTCTGTAGCAACTATAAGATGGTCCCCTCCTGGGTGGAAAGACATTGCTCTTATTGGCTCTGCTTCCTAAAAAAATTATGAACTGTAGGTAAAAATGCTTGTTTGGAACACTTTCAAACTTGCTGTAATGGTCTTGAATGCTTTCTTCACACTGGCTTTAGTAATATCAAACAGCTTGATAGTCATATCCCTACTTCCAGAACACAAGATTGTTTCTTTTGGATGAAATTCCAGACATGTCACTTCTTCCATGTGATCATAGAGGGTCCTGATGACAGGGTGGCCCTGTTGTTCTCCCCTAGAAGGGTCCATTTCATCAGGAGCTGATTTTGCCAGCATCCTGTCAACATCAAGGATCTTGATGCTGGCATCCACACTGCCAGTAGCAATGAGTTGTCCATCAGCAGAGAAGCAGCCTGCACGGCAGTTGCCTTTGTGAGAGGTAACATAGGCTGTCTCATACAGAGCAGGTTCTGGGGCAGGAATGGATGATTCTGTCTCGAATTCCAAATCTAATGAAAATAAATGAGTTTTTTTGTCCCTTCTGTGATAAATGGAAAGTACTTACCAAGACCAGGGCCGATATTGTTATTTCCGATTCCCACATTTTTGGGCCTTTCCTTTAAGCTGGGTTCATGTTCTAATCCAGTGAGGATGAGCCGGAAAAGCCTGTCACTGGGAGCATTATTAGCCTCTGCTTGGACGGCTTGTTGTAGGCTAGTTCCTATACTTTGATGGCCATCGTAGAATAACTGGCTGAAATAGGAGAATTTTCATTATGAGGACATTCTGGCGGTGAAAGCTTGGTCATGTTTTCCTACCTGATGATCAGCTTGTACAAGAATTCTCTGCTCTTGATGAGGTTTGTAGGTTCGGGATCATCTTCGGGGTTGGAAGCATTTGAATTGTTCAAGTGGTTATTAGTCATTGTTGAGATTATTATTAACTATTAACCAAATATCAAATTTTCTTCACAGTTTTTGTTATTCTGATTTGTTTATTTGCCACCACCGTGAAGTACGTGTCCTGAGGTTCTTCTTCTTTTCTTTATTCTTCACGGTTTACGGTCTTTTGACTTTCGAGTCAGTTTGAAAATTCATTTTGACCAAACTTATGCGCTACTACGGTAGAAGTAAATTATTGCATTAGAGTACCTCGATGTCAATAATGACACATTCGATTTGACGTTTTTGCAAAGAAATGATTCAAAATTCAAAGGATTGATGTGTTTGATAATGATAATAGAATAGGTTGAGTGGAATTAATAATATTTTATTTATATATATTAGAAGAATTTGTTTTCGGCATTCTTGAAGGGAATACAATGTGTATATCAACTGAAAAGAATAATGAAACTAATGAAAGTTCTGAACCTAAAGAAGAAGGTACTTATAGCATTTATTTCAAGCCATTCAGGAATTTCTATTATTTCCAAACTTTTCAGTTGATGAAGACGCCGAATTGAGAGTTTACAGTATTCTCTCTTACTTCATAGTACTTGTAGTTATAGGCCTACCAGTATGGTGGTACAGCACAAGAGTGTACAGAGCTAGTCTACCTTTGAACCAAATGTATGAAGTAGAACTCAAGAGTACAACAGACAGGGACTTTGGAATACCTCTGAGCTTAGAATATGATATATTGATATCATTTGTGCACCCAGATCCTGGATTTTTAGAAATACACCTCAGAGGTGAAGATATTGAACTGAATCTTCAACCATTCTTGAATAAAATCCGTCCCATAGCAGATTTTGTAGTGAAAAGTCAGTGGTTGTTCCAGACAGAGTTGGGTGCAGAACCTAGGAGGATTCTGGACCATAATGTGTTGCTAGAAAAGCAGCTACCTCATATTATAACACCTCTAGAAACAAAGTTATGGTCACATTTATCACCTAGACCTAGCCTGAATTTGGTTGTTTACTTCTCAAGGTGTGACTTACCACTCCACATCTATAATAATGATCATCACATAGTAGAAAGTAATGCATTTCTGAGCCCAAGGTGGGGTGGTATTTACATAGTGAACCCTGATAAGGATTCTTGTCAAAGTAATCATTTTGAGCCTGAGCTGCAACCAATTGTATCAACTTTTGTTGCACAGCTCAAGTATTTATTCAAAATTGATAACAGTTCCAACAGTGATGATATTTATGAGCTCAAAATGAGGAAGGCCCAAGACATGTTGGATTCAACACATAGAACATTGAGATCTTTGGCCCAACTGCTGTCAGAAATAAGCAGTATTGTTATAAGTGATGAGGTTGGAGAGAAAATCAATGTGGCAGTAGAGAATGCTGACCTGGCTGAGGGTTTTTTGAAAGGGGGCTTAGTGGATGAAGGCTTGAAGCATGCCAAAATTGCATTTTTGAATTCTGAGGCTGCTTTTGGGGATCCTTCTTTGTTGGCTTTGCTGTACTTCCCAGAAGATCAAAAGTAGGTGCTTTTGAAACTTCAAGTGAATGATGTATTATTTGTAATTTCAACTTTTTTATTTTTCAGGTATGCAGTTTATATTCCACTATTTTTGCCCATAATGATTCCTGTGTTCATGTCCCTAGCAATTGTTAGGAAATGGAGGAAAGCTAAGAGAGAAAAGGCTGATTAGTATGTAGGAAAATTTGAGAGCAGGCACATTTCTCCCAATAATTCAATATTCTGAAGATGTTTTACATTCTACTTTATCATCATGTCAATCAGATTTTTTCAGAACTTGTCCTCTAAATTCTAAAACAATTTTTCTTCTTCCTATTCTCACTGGATAGTTTATTTGTTAAGTGTGATTCAAAAATGTGTAAGTTTCTGGTGTAGAAATAGGAATTGAATAAATAAAACCATGTGATACACAAAAATTGTTGAATTTTATAAATATTTACAATAAGTAGTGGGAAAAAATTATTTTAAATAAGTAAAACCAAGTAATGTCTTAGACAAAAAATAAACAATTACTAAAGATAAAGTAAATATCCTATAATGCCATCAACAATCATTAGAAATTAAATATTTCATCAGTACTTCGGTACTTCCCATGCTAGGACAGTTTCTCTCAATAAATTAGTGAAAACTTTGGCTAGCCATGAACACCATTTCAGAATGAACATACAGTATATCAACAAAATGCAATTATACAAAAATAATCCATGCATACACATCTTCCTATATGACATACTCTATGCCAAAAAAAAAACATCCGGAAAAAAATTCCCAACAATTATTTTTCCAGTGAACTTGACTTGAGGGGTTCCTAAAAAAATTTTCAAACCCCAGACAATAAACTGATGAAGCAATCAGAAAACAAAGGTCTTCGTTGCGCCCTGTGAAACCCATACACTCTCCGTCGGGATATAAAAAAAAACTGAGGGAGGTAAACAAAAAAAAAATCGAAATTTTCGTAAAATTTTGACGGCCGCGTATATTCTCTTGACGAAAGACTATGCCGCGAAGCAACCAATGATTCCGGTCAGCACCCAGAAGGTGAACACCATTTCAGAATGAACATCCAGAATATCAAGGAAATGCAAAAAAAAAACATCCAGAAAAAACCCCAATAATTTTCTAGTGAACTTGTTTTGAGGGGTCCCTTAAAAATGTTTCAACCCATCAGACAATAAACCGATGAAGCAATCACCAAACAAAGGTCTTTGTGGCGCCCTGTCAAAAACCCACACTCTCATATACAGTCGCGATATCGAAAAAACAAAACAAAGGGAGGTGAACAAAAAAATAGAAATCTTTGTAAATCTAGTTGACTTGAGGGGTCTCTTAAAAATGTTTCAACCCATCAGACAATAAACCGATGAATCAATCACCAAACAAAGGTCTTTGTTGCGCTCTGTCAATAACCCACGCTCTCGTATACAGTCGCGATATCGAAAAAGCAAAACGAAGGGAGGTTAACAAAAAAGTAGAAATCTTTGTGAACCTAGTTAACTTGACTCCTTAAAAATGTTTCAACCCATCAGACAATAAACCGATGAATCAATCACCAAACAAAGGTGTTTGTTGCGCCCTGTCAATAACCCACGCTCTCGTATACGGTCGCGATATCGAAAAAGCAAAACGAAGGGAGGTGAACAAAAAAATCGAAATCTTTGTAACATTCTAGTCGATTTTGACGGCCGCGTATATTTTCCTGACGAAAGCGTACGCCGCGAAGAAGCCGATGGTTCCGGTCAGCACCCAAAAGGTGAACACCATCAGGCCCGTGTAGCCCATGTAGAGCAGGATGGGTATGAACTCGGTGATCTCGAGCTTGGTCATGAAATAGAAGAAGGAGTAGCCCATGATGTAGAGGGCGCTGCCTCCTGATACGATGAAGCTCCGCCACCACCAGTGGTAGTCCTGAGAAAAAATGGAACAAGATGTTAAAATTATCATAATATGCTACAGAAGCTATGATACTAGCGAAGCAATAAAATAAAAAGCTTGAAGCAACTGACATCACCTGGTACTTGATATATCTTCCAGTTCAAATCAAATACACTTTATTGTCAGAAGAAATGAGTTCTCATCGTTAATTGTGAATAAACTGAAATTTGATATCGTTTTCATTAGTTCAGTCCTCAATTATTTGCACTAACACGATGATCCACCTCCATGTAAAATGATGAAGCTTAGTTTGGCCTTAGTTCTTGGCTGGTTCGTAGGCGGCGCTAGTGAAACTCAGCAAAATATGGCCGATTTGTCTATACTCTTGGAATCTGCTCGAGTCCATCTATCTGCAAGTTTCTGAAATATCTAGGAATATCCTTGCTGAAGCAGGAAAATCACCAACTTTGATATTCTGACTTTCAATTAATAACAATTCATTTCTTCCTTCTTGCATAAACACATCTATAAATGAACTTCCAATATATTCTGCATTACCGATCTCTACCCTAAGCTACTTACAGAAAAGTAGTTCAACTTATCACTCATAGAAGCCGCCACCTACTGAATAGAATTTATGGCTTCATTACTCTCATAAGGATGGTTCATCTTGTTAGTGTGTGTATAATCAAGGGCTCAGTGGAAAAAAATCGCAAATTCTCAAATACAGTGTTTTGCAGTTGAAGTTTTTCAAATTGCAAAGCATACTCCCATTATTTTACCAATATCATGTAGAACACCTGCTGATGAATAGTATTTTTGACTCACCTCACCACAAAGCTGGAAATATACCATAACTATGGATATTTGGGAGCAGGATATGACCAGTATGACGAAAACCAAAAAGAGGAAACCGAAGAGGTAGTAGAACTGGTTTTCCCATATGGCGGTGAATATGAAGAACAGTTCTATGAAAACGGCACCAAAAGGTAGAATTCCGGCCATCAGAGTACTGAAAACAGAAGAAATCCTTACTGAATGATCACTGCCATATTGCCAAAATATATTCCAAATGGGAACATGACTCCAAATCCAAAATAAAATATAAATTTCGACTATTAAGTTTGTAAATTTATTTTTTCAGAGGATACATACCGGGTATCATCAATCTATTAGACAAATTTATAACTTCTAGAATATCAGATGTATCAAAATAAAATTTGATATAGGTGAATGATATGTGAAGAGAAGGGTTTTCGCATATTTTTCATATTCCGGTCACTTCCGGTTTCACCGTAAATGACTCCAGTTTTGAATTTTTAAATGGAACACCCTGTATTAACATTTTTGGATATCTGAGACACTTCTGGATCAGAATGTGACGTATTAAAAAGTTCTTATGCCTACTTCAATTTTTCAGAGTCATTCCGTTTGTTGTTCCAATTTCGGCATCATCCTGTACATGCATAAACTCAGGCTATATTTCGAATTCAATTGGCCAGTGCTGTCAGTAAATCCACTGACCTCGCTGAAAATCTGTGTTCCGAAATATAAAATCAAAAATACAGTGCTGTAATTCGGAACATGTTTTCATGGTTTTCATCAGTAATCAGCAGCAATTGATCAGCTGGTGAACTTTGTCCATGTCAGTTTGTCGTTCATGTATAGTTTCGCGATCATCTGAAATAGATATTATTCTCAGTCAATTATTTTGATAACGGGCATTTTCTGATATTAAAAATGATATTATTAATTTATTATTGATAAAACAACGGAAATAAATGTGACATTCCTTCCCCCTCTAACCTCTAATATAATGACAGTTTACTGAAGCCACAACAGGTTTGTTCTCGTTCGAAAAATAGACAGTCCGAAACCATCGGAAGCATGCGTAGTTCCACGGAACATGAAAAATTCCAACAGTTCTGTGAAACAGCGCATGCTCCTGATGGTTTGGGATAGTTTATATTTCGAACGAGAACAAACCCACTACCTATTATAGGATTGAGGCAACTTTACGGAACGAATAGGTATATTTCAACATAAATACCGCTAAAATACAACAAATAACACACATATCTTCTTGACACGTCGTACTCTCGTCTTTCTACTATCACACGTCATACATTACTTCTTTCATTCATCTCATTTATATACAGGATGCTATCCTACAACTCGGCCATCCTGAAATTCGTCCGTCTCGGATGAATCTTCTTCATTCCACTTCTTCATGTACTCGGCGCATGTAGATGTGTTGACTGGTCCCTCGTGATATCCTTCTTTCTTGACGTCATATGTATCATGGCCCTTTACTTTCGTAACTCGATAAGGTCCCAAATATTTCGACTTTAGTTTTAGTCCTGGGCCTTGTTGAACTCGTTTAATAACTACAAAATCACCAACTCTATATTTGTTAGGATCTTTTCTTCTCAAATTGTATGTCTTCCTATTTTCGTCCTGGACTTTGAGTATCTGCTTCTTAGCTTCTCTTCGCAAGTCTTCTCTTGTTTCTTCGAATAAAACTTGTGCTTCTTCTTCTATCGCTTTCTTAATTTCAGTTTCCATCTTATTTCGCATCTTCACCCCTAATAATAATTCAAATGGTGTGGTGTTGATACATCTTTGAAATGAGGCATTCACAACTCTCTGCACCTGATCTACGTATTTGTACCACTTGGTAGGATCTTCGTTTGACAATTTGGTCAAAACTGAAATTATTATTGAGTTCACTCTCTCAATTTGTCCATTTGCCCTCGGAAGACCGGTAGTTATCATGAAATGTTTGATTCCTTCATTTTTACAATAGTCTTGGAACTCTTGAGAATTGAATGCTGACCCTCTGTCTGATATTATATTTAATGGATTCCCAAAATTCTTCTTCTGTACTTCTAGCTTTGCTATTACTTCTTTACTAGTAGTCGACTTCGTCGGATAGAGCCATATATATTTCGTAAATGAGTCCACAACAGCGAAAATATGATTGTAGTTTTTATTGGTAGATTCCAGTGGTCCCAAATGGTCAACATGATAAGTTTGTAAAGGAATATCATCTTTTTGCAATGGTTGTAAGAATCCTTCCTGTTTTCCACGTTTTCGGTTTGCTAATAGACATATAACACATGACTGAATACATCTTTCAACCTTCTCTTTCATTTTCGGTATGAAATAATTTCTATGAAGAATTTCTTCTGTTTTCCTTGCAGCGAAGTGTCCTTCCTCATGAGCTTCCTTGATAATCTTTGATTGTATGCTTCTGGGTATAACCAATAATTCATTTCCTCTCACAGCTTTGTAAATTACATCATTCTTCAATAGATAGTCTTCGTATGGCTTCTCTTTCAATATTTCTTTAATAGCTCTTAACTCTGGATCATCATCTTGTGCTTTTCTCATTTGGATCGACGCAATATCACTTGTGATAACCATAATCGGGTACCTGCTAAGAGCATCAACATGGCGCATACGATCTCCTGACCGATGCTCTATGGTATAATCAAATTCTTCCAGGAGTAGTGCCCATCTGGCGATTTGTGGAGTGAGATCTTTCTTGTACATCGTTTTCTGGAACGCAGAACAGTCTGTTATTATTTTAAATTTGGTTCCTAAGAGATAAACTCTAAATTTCTTTAAAGCTTCTATAATTGCCAAACATTCTAATTGGTAAGAGCTGTATTTCTTCTCGGCGTCTGTCGTCTTTTTGCTCATATAATATATCGGATGTAAACTATTATCTTCGTAGGATCTTTGCATTAAAATAGCTCCATATCCTTCTTGTGCTGCATCTGTGTGCAACTCCAATTCAGCACCTCTTCGATAAATATTCAATACAGGTTTACTCGATAATATTTGTTTCAGTTTATTGAATGCTACTCTTTCGCAATCATTGAATCGAAATGTTCGATCTTTCTTCGTGAGATCACTCAACGGTCTTGCAATCAAGGAATATGACTGGATGAATTTCCTGAAGTATCCTGTTAAACCTAGAAAACTTTGAACTTGTTTGATGTTCGTAGGTTCTGGGTACTTCAGTACCGCTTCAGTTTTAGTTTTTGAAGGAAATATCTGTCCATTTTCTATCAAATGACCCAAAAATTCAACTCTTCGTTTTAAAAACTGACATTTCTTCTTATTTATTTCGAGTCCATAATCACTGGCCACCTTCAAAACCATTTTCAATTTCTTCATCGCCTCAAATTCATTTTCTGCAGGAATTATCAAATCGTCCAAATATAACATAACAATTCCTTGTTTTTCAAGATCACTAAAAATTCGATTTATGTAACGTTGGAATATTGCTGGAGAATTGCAAAGTCCGAAAGGTGTCTTCAGAAATTGATATTGTCCATTATGGGTTACGAAAGATGTATACTTCCTACTATTCTCTTCGACTGCAACATGGAAAAATCCATTTTTCAAATCCATGGTAGTGAAAATTCGAGCGTCTTGTAATTTGTCGAGTTGATCCTCTATTAGTGGTAGTGGAAATCTATCTTTCACTATTATTTTATTGATTCTCCTATAATCAACACATAGTCTATAGGATCCACATTTTTTCTTCACCAAAACTACTGGACTTGCATATTCCGAGCTACATGGTTCCACAATCCCTTCCTTAATCCATTCTTCTATCTGTTTGTCCACAACTTCTCTCTCTGCATAAGGTAATCGTCTTGGATTTGAATATATCGGTTGGTCATCTTTGACAGTTATTTTCATTTCCACATCTGTATATTTAATCTTTTCAGGCTTATAATTATTCACTACTTCTAATATATTTTCTTTCAGTTCTGAACTTATGTCTTCTCCTACATTCAATTCTTCAGTTTCATTTATCTGGATATTCAATAACCATTGATTTTCTTGGCGTTTTCTTATAATAATTCCATTTTCATCAATAGAAATTTCGGCTTCATTCAGTAACTCAGTTCCTATGATAGCTTGCATCGATATTGTTTCATTAGGTACAACATGAACTGTAGACACAAAATTGCTACCATCAACTTCAATATATCCTTCAAATTTCCCTAAAGTATTAACAGATGATCTTCCAAATCCGGTCAGCTTGATAGTTGAGTTAGTAAGTGGTGGAGAACCAATGGAGAAGTGAGTATTTTCAGTAATGATATTTACATGACTGCCTGTATCAATCAGCACATTGATAAGGTGTTCGTTCAATCTTACCATCTTATACATTGTCTGAAGATGATTCTGTGTAATTTCATTGACCGAAGGTTCTGCACGGGTCGTCGTTGGGGTAAATTCCTGATTTCTTCGTGGCATATTAGGTTCTGTGCGATTAGTACTATTCACCGACGAACATTCAAATGATTTGTGTCCATACCTATTACATTTGAAACATTTTGCGCCTAATGTTTTGCTTCGACAATCTTGGGATTTGTGTCCATTCATTCCACAATTGAAACAACGGATTCTTGTGTGATTATGGTATTTTTCTTCTGTCCTTTCATCTCTTCTATTCTGTCTATCATTTTTCCATGTATCTCTGTTGGAAGAATAACCAGAATATTTAATTTTATTTTTCATCTCCCCATATATTTTCAGCTTATCTTTGAATTCTTTAAGATTTCTTGCTCCATAAAGTAAAATCTTGTTGGTTTGTTCATCATAGATACCATCGATAACATATTGGATCAATGCATCAGATTCAATTGTACCTCGATTAGCAATTTCTTTCATAACAAGAAAATATTCATGCACATCTTCATTTTTTCTCATTCTTCGTTCAGTCAACATACGATGAACCTTCGCGCTATTCATTTTTGATGAAAATTCACTCAAAAGTGCATATTTCAAGGATTTCCAGGATGTTATACCGGTTTCACCTTGTATAAATAATTTTGCTAAACCAACTATTGATTTTTTGGCGAAAACAAAGGTGCATAAATCGGTCCAACTGAATATTGAACTCATTTCTTCTACATCATTGATCCATTTTTCAACAGAATATGAATTTGTTCCATCAAATTTTTTGATAGAATCTTCCACGTCTCGAAAATTCATGGCGAATGGTAGATTACGCGAAGTTGAATGGAAAGCGGAATCACCCTGTATACTTCCTTGTTTATTTTGTATATAATCTGCTGAACAACCCTGTATACTTCCTTGTTCATTTATCTCTTTATTTGTTGAATCACCCTGTATGCTTTTCGAATTACTCCGATCTCGATCGCCTTCCCTCATTCTATTCCTCAGTATCAAAGTATTTTCGTCATTTTCTTCTTCCTCGTCTTCATCTTCATCTTCATCTTCTTCGTCTTTTTCTAGCTGTGTCTTCAAGTTTTCCAAATTCATAAGATTACCAATAATATCGATAATGAGGTTACTTTTATCGGTATTGTAATCTAAACCCAAAATATTTGCTATCAAAGTTAAATCGCTGATAGAAAAATTATCATCAATGCATTTTAATTTGTGTTCATATTCAACAGATTTCAAATCAAAATTAAAACCGGAAAAAGCTCGTAGTCTTTTCCTGTTATTTCTATCACCCTCAATATCGAAAACAAGTTTATGGAAAGTTTTTATCACTTTGACTGGAGCAACGTTTATGCCGCTCAAAATATTGTCAATGTCACCAAGTGTCACCATTTTCGTAAAAATATCTGATATGGAAATTCGCAAAAAGTCTGTAATTTCAGAACAACAGTGTTTAAAACAAAACGGAATAGAGTTCGTTAGATACCGAAATAGTTTATACAGTGATATACTTCACACTGAAAGTAGTATAGTTCCATAAAATGTCCACTCAAAGTATCTGTTTCAAACTCAAATGATGATTTGAATCATCTAGTTCAGAAATAACAACTATACTTCTGAATGTCTTTCAAATAGCTTAAGCAATAGTCTTTTCAAATCTGCTAAAATGCAAAGCGAAATGCTCACCTCGTATCTTCCTTATGTTACCTGATATTTAATAGTATATGTTGGATGTCTGTTACACCAAAATCATCTTCACTTGGTCTATAGTTCAGATCAGCCCGAAAATGTTACGAATAGTTTTTGAATAACACGCACTTCTACCGAATGATGAAATGATTCTTGTTCTTGACCCCTCTTTCGTCTTTACCGTCTTCAATTCCGTCTCTACCGTCTTCAATTCCGTCTCTTTTGTATTTCCCTCCTTACGTCTTGGTATTCGATTTTTTCGTCGTCTTTTTGTTATTTCGTCTTCTCGTCTTCGTGTGTTATCGTTTTCTCGTCTTCTTATCCAATAGTCTTCCCGTCTTCTTTGATTCTTTTCGTCTTCACGTCTTCGAATTATCCCGTCGTCAAATTGTAAAATTTTTGTCGTCTTTTTCACTTCACTGTCACTCTGACAGGCTTGAACTTATTCGCTCCAAAAAAATGCCAATCCCGGTTGAGCCCCCAAATTTATAGGATTGAGGCAACTTTACGGAACGAATAGGTATATTTCAACATAAATACCGCTAAAATACAACAAATAACACACATATCTTCTTGACACGTCGTACTCTCGTCTTTCTACTATCACACGTCATACATTACTTCTTTCATTCATCTCATTTATATACAGGATGCTATCCTACACTATTGATAGTCAGCAATTTCAGCAGAATGTTGAGTCGAAATATTTGGAATGCTCTGCTCACAACTATCTGTCACTTTCGGTGTATTTTTGATTTCGGAATAGAAATCAGCAGATTTAGTACTGTCAGTTGAATTCGGAATATAGCCTCAGATGTTTCCAATAACAACATACAAACATTTACAATCAATAACTATTCTATTGTAATCTTCTCCTAAAGATGCTAACACAGTTAGCAAAACAAGTGTGGAGACGTTACAAAATAAGTTTGGTTAATGGTAAAGCAGTGTGGTGTAAATAAATAAATCATAATGGAGCATCACCATTTCTTACCACAAAAACGGATTCATGTACCAGTGCTGTTCCGGCACCTGCCTCGGGATCTGATTGGTCCGCACCGGGTGCTGATAGGGCTGCTTCCTATACCCGAAATAGTAGCCGAGATAGACCAGCGGCAGCGAGATGAACACCCACATCAGCAGCAGGCTGATCATGGTGGCGAAGGGTACAGCCCCGCTGCTGGCTTTGCCCCATATGAAGAAGTTGAGGAAGAAGCAAGTCAGGCCGACCACAGCAGGGTAGAGGACCTGAGGAAGGTCGATTCGTAACGATCCATCCATGAATGATGAAAAAATACATTGATTTTGAGAAACGAGGTAACTCTGGAGTGCACCCAATGCACCAGGGTATCGTTCCTAAACCCCTCCCCCCTGTGGTAAATTTTCATATAGTGGTAAATCCATCAATTTGTGGTCTGACTATTTTTTATCACATCATTTAAAATAACTCATAACTCGACTCTTGCACCGACATCGTTTCGGCGACAACTTATGTGAGGTGCTGACTCAAAATAAGACTTTTTTTTCATATAATTATGTTCTTGAATGCACCTCCTAAAATATAGAACCAAATCTTCTGAAAATTGGCATGTCCCTGTCGTTTTAGCAGCCTAACGATAATAGGAGTTTTCTCGTATTTCAACGAATTGCCCATGCAATCATCACTGGTGAATGGTTGATTTATGATCGTGAATAATCCTAGTGTTGACTCATCCGTGATATTTTCCTTTGTATGATTGAATCACTGGTCTCTGAAATTTGGCAGCCTACATCGTTCCTGTCAAACCGAACATATTGTAGATCCGAGTGAATCAACGGCGAAATTGAGACCGGCGACCGGCTCTTACGTAGACATTTGTGGCGTTTTTTTGACTGCAGAAATCGAATGCTAATGGCTTGGTCAACAATAATGGAGAGTAGAAATAGTCAGTGGTTCAGGTTTAGCATTGAATTTTTCGATAGTATATTCTTCCCATACTATTGATTCGAAAAATATTGGGTTGGGAACTAAACTTGTAATAATCTGACAACAATCGGACAAAAAAATCCACTGAAACAGCACCATTGATAATAGAATATTTGTCTGAAATAATATCTGAAATTGAAACATTCATCCAAAATCTATATGATTCCGATTAAAACACAGTGGCGTACATGTTTATTATTCAAAATAGCTCAGAGACAGTTATGTTGCTAATATTGTCGAGAACTTTCCTATAATGGCTTGAGAGGCGTACACAGTTTTTTTCGAGAGGATTCGAAAAGAAATAACACGGGTGAATTTGCACTTACGGATGTTAGAAAAGCTGCCCGTTTCCATTCTCGTCCTTTCATGGTCTTGTACAACCTGGCGGAAAAGTAACCGGCAACAGCGCCATGAATCATGTAGAAAGTAATAGCGGCTGTAGTTAAGGCCCCACGTGACGCTGGGGAGAGCATGCCCAACATAGCAAAAACTAGACAAAAAAAATTAAAATAAGAGTAGCTGATGAATCCTTGATTTTTTTTATCTCTTGAAGCGCACGGAAGGAAATCCCTATAATGTTTGAAGAACATCGTGAGTAGGTACAGGCTTTCCACACAAAAAATTCCTAAAGTTGAAAAAATCTCAATTTTTCACACCCTATTCATAGGGAGAATCTGAAAATAAAATAAAATACAGGGTGTCAAATTTGAAAATCCATATAAGTTGCCCATAACTTTTTTTGCGATGTTCAACTGTTCTTCTGTTATATATAAAATCTACTTTTCAAAAAATATATTGATTGGATGAATAAAAAAGTTAAGGAGTTCAAAATATATATGAGAAAACCCTGTATCTAGGGAGGAAAGGAAGAGGAGGTTGGTATAGGATTTTTTCTTGAACTTTGATGAAGCTAATACTCACAAATGGTTATTAGTGACATGAGGAAAATTTGGATGCCTGATCCTATCAAGGCGGCGAATAATCGTGAATTTTTGGGAGGCCTGAAAACATCGCCATGGACAAGTTTCCAACCAGTTTCTTCGATCGTTTCGTCATAACTTTCGTCGGCATTATATTTCGCGATGTCTCTTCTTAGTGTCCTGACCATTATCATCGTCAAAATGCCTGCAATTTTATTTTTCCAGAAATTTTATTTGTCGTGAGTTTTAATATGTTAAAAATCTAAAACAGCTGTAGATTATAAACACAGGTATAGAATCCAAGAAAATAACAATGCATTTTTGAAATATTGTAATTTGTGTTCAAATGTGAATTAATATTTGAACTTCGTTGAATAGATAATCAATAAATAAATCAAAAGTGAATAAATAGACTTCATAGAGTATCAGACTTGAAGAAAAGAAGAAAAAAACCTTATTTTCAAAATCTGATATTATTTGATATTCATATCAGAACCAAGCTGGATAGAAATGATAGAATATGGTGTAATCACAGACAGTGTTTTGTTTCTCCTAAAATGCTTGACCACAATAATGGCATATTTGTTCTCAGTTGTCCGCGAGATGGCGACGCTTCTAACAGATTTCTCTCATAATAATAATAATATAATAAATAGTTTATTCACACAATTATAAAATAATCAATAGGTAACATATTACATCACATTACATCATGAAACAGAAAACAGTGCTTACACACCACTTGCATCAGAAATAATATCATAACATTCATGACATTACCTCAAAACAAATGAGCTCAAATTTGAAAGTAGGAAACTGTAATTTTGGGGAATTTTAATCATCATCTGTTCTACCAACCTTGAATATTGGTTGAGATTTCGCCATCTAACGGGTAAAACGCGACCTAAATTCCGCGATATAATAAAGAATCCTTCTGTCAAGTAGGCCGTAGGTCAAAAACTTTGACAGAAAAACAGTAGATGGGATTTGATTGGAGTTTCTACACCATCTTCTGTTCATCCTAATCTGAACTATTTCAGATTTCTCATCCAAAAACATGAAATGTTTGATTTATACAAATGTCAATAAAGTGAATCAATTAGGAAATTTACTGAATACTGGGTGTCTAAGATATTCAATGTGCCATAATTTCAGTTGTTGATGAATGATTGTACAGTCTTACTAGTCAACTGGAGCAGCTCCAGCAAAAAACATACAATATGTGCTGTTGGCCCCAATAATGGTCAAATGCACGTGGCGGATATTACTTGCTCAAGGCACTCCAACTGACTTTGGAAAGAATGCCAGCCATCAATAAAAGAAACAAAAATCTAATAAATGTTTTCAGAGAAATTCAATTTTATGTTTTTATAATAAATAAAATGAAGTGGCCACACATACAGAGTTTACTATAAAATTAGGTGTACCAGAATATGTCATCTTCATTGAGTTTGAATCATCTCCATTATAAATCCCTTTCAGTTATAAAAACCCTGATGGAAAACAGTGTATTTTACCTGCTAAGAAGAAAATGACAACAATACTGTTTATAATGGAGAACCAATGGATTTGGGCATCACTCATGACCAAATATGTGTCCCATCTAGATGCCCAGCTTACAGAAGATTCCTCCCACTCCACTTCATAAGTGAAAAATAGTTTAGTGCCACCTACAGGGTCCACAATTTGTGGTGATGGTTTGGATGGAAACTCACATGATTTTCCATCAGTGAATTTCAATTCCTCCAAGGCCACTGATTTGGCTTGGATGCCAAAACCCACCACTCTGTATATATCACTGAGAAATGCATAAAATTAATATAGAAATTGAGACCATTAGAAGATATTATCTGCATAAAAACAGCAACTTACGGTTGTGGTTTGTGATATAGTAGAGTCAGCTTCAAATGATTGTTGATGAAATTTCTATCTCCCACTGTATTTCCTAATCTGTAGCCATGTTCAAATAAAACTTCATTGAGGTCTGAATTGATGATTTGTGTGGCAGCAGGCAAGTTATCTACCAACCTGAGCACAAGAAAAAATCAAATCAGTACATTTTGAAACCAACATTCTAACAGACTTGAATCCAATTGAAATTGTAGGATCTTTCCATAAGATGAACTTACAAATGTACAAAATATTCATGTTGTATCCTGTCAATGACAATTTGAGACTCCCCAACACCCCAATGAATTGGTTTGTCAGGAGAATTGCAGAGTAAACTGCACGAAACTGTCTCAGCCATCTTGACCACATAGGGAGTGTTCACAATTCTGTCACCTCTCAGAACTTCCCCTAAATTCTCAGATTTGTAGTGTATGGCATCAGAGCCTCCTTTAGGCAGGCAAAAAGGTAGGGAATAATACTCATAAGGTAGCAGGGTGTTGATACTGGTCATTTTCACTGCCTTCACTTCTATGAGGTCTCCCTTTTTGAAGTCTGTTGGGGCCATGCCCGGTACATAAAACTGGTGACTTTGTGATATCCACGTCAGGAAAACTATTTGAATGAATAAATAAGATTCCTGAAAATTAAATATGTTGCTAATATGTAATAGATGATTCATAACCATACCACTGATACCTGGGCGAACATTTTGATACTGATCTTGTACTTAAATGGAGAAATGGTTTTCCGTTGTTGTATATTTTGAAAAATCCTCGGGAAAATCTATCTGGAATTTTGGAAATCCATTTTTCATAAATGTAGAATTTTGAGAAAGCAGGATTTGAACTAAGGGTCAACTTATCACACAGATTGCTCTTGAATCAGTTGAATCACAGCACGTTCGATTTGTGAAAAATGAGGGACTATTGTAATCAGTGTAATCTGTAATAAAATGTTCCGTTTTTCTACTATTTTCGCCACTTTTCACTCGACTTTTTAGTTTTTGACATATCTCACTTTAGACTTTAGTTTGAAACACAGTGTCACTGTCAGTGTCCATGAATATTTCGCTGTCAGTAGAGATCAATAGTTGCGTTTTATTATTTGTTTCATTCTGGTAACGGCGGTAGGAACCCTTGGTTAGGAACAGAATGACGTTTACGAAAAAAAACGAGAAGTTTCATGACCTGGCATGAGATGAAAGATGCATTGGGGCTCTGAATAATTTCAAAATCATGATACCTACTAGAGTTTGAAACTTAAGTAAATGAATCAACGCATATTCGGATCAGTGATTGTGGTGATTGGAAAAAGTTCTCGGAGATCGAGAGAATTCATTTCATCTGGGAATGAAGATATGAAACCTTTCTTACTTGAAAGAATCATGAACTTGTGAACCTCACGATAAAAATGTATTCTAAATGTCATCCACATTCGTAAAGTTTCGTTTTTCGTCAAACTAATTCAATTTTTTGACAACTGTCAACAGTCATTCCTCGGCATTCCTTGTAGTGAGACGGAATGGAGAGTAGCAACCGGAATTGGAAAAGTTGCAAATAAAACGACACATAGAGCCTGTTCGTTTGTGCTTGCTCTACCTGCTGAACTTTCACTGTTTACATTATGTCATGAACAGAGAAAACTATGGGAAAAATCAACGTGTGCGTTTTTCATTCCAACATTTTATCATGCGCATGAATCGAAAAAACCATCAAACTGTTGCAAAATTCCGCTGGAATGTTGATGGACATCCATCAAACTGTTGTAATAAAATGCGCACTTTTTAATCGCTTTTCGAGAATCCAGCAGTTTGGAGGAGATTGACATGACAGTTGACACATTTTAGTGTTGTTTTTTGGTTTGATTTGATAGAAAACAATTTATATTGAGGATTTTTGAGATTCTTGAGAGATTTTAGAAGAAAGAGTCAGTGTTAATCAATAAAATCGAATTAGCCTCTTCTGATTCTCAAGATACATGATGACTGACACACAACAAAATCCGTGTTTCCATCAATGTGTTGTATAAACCATTGTTCAATCCTTCCAGCATAAATACCAACAGAACAATTGGTGACGTCACGACAAAAAACCGCATCTATCAGTGCGCACTTTCTTCGATGGAATGAAAAACACGCCCAACTTTCCAATAACGAACAGCTGAGTGATTCTGGTGACGGAATCGGACAAATAAAACGCAACTATATTGTCAGCAGTGTCATCAGTCATCATTGTCACCACTGTCACCTGTCACCAGTAAACAACAGACTCGTATTTTTGTGTATTTTCAAATTTTAAGTTTTAACGATCCTCGAATCGTATACATGTTGATTGATTTTGAGGTTTCTAAAAAGGTGCAAAAAAATTAACAGCGAAAGTATCATCTTCAAAATGACCTCGGCAGCCCAAAAAAGCAAATCAGCGATAACTCTCAAAGGCTCATCCGCAATAGTCTGTGACTATTTGAGTAAGTATATTTATATTTCCATCAACTGCAGAATTTCTGTAGTTCTCACATTTCCAATATTTTTTGTAGACTTTGGCATCAATTCCATTTTATTTCAACGAGGCTTGTATCCCCCTGAAAACTTCACAGCTGAAGAGGAATATGGTTTAACGATTTTGATGTCCACTGATAACAAAATCAAACATTTCCTCACCACTACATTGGGAAAACTGAAAGGTACAGTATTGTAGTTGTTTTTGTCTCAAAGTATTTTTTCTATTCACAATTTTTTTGTAGAATGGTTAGCTGAGAAGGTTGTGAACAAAGTTGCTTTAGTGATAACCAATGTAAAAACACTGGAAGTCATGGAAAGGTGGGATTTCATAGTTGAATATGAAGCAGACTCCAAGGGTGAAGCTGAGCAAGTATCTGAGAAGCCCTTGAAGCAAATCAAGAATGAAATCAGGGATGTCCTCAAACAAATAGCATCATCTGTAGCCTACCTGCCACTTTTAGACTGTCTATGCAGTTTTGACATTCAAATTTATACAAAAGACAATTTGCAGATGCCAGATGAATGGGCAGAAGCAGAACCTGCTCATATAAAGAATGCACAAACTGTAAAAATGAGGTCATTCTCCACACAATTACACAAGATGGACACTGTGGTAACTTACAAAAATGAAGACTGATTATGATTTCTCTTAATTTCTCAATGTTCAGTATTGTATTTGAACTATTTTATGTGAATAATGTAAGTAAATAATTTTTCCTAGTTTTAGTAAAAAAAAATATGAATTTTATGAAATTGTTTTTTTTATGAATCTTCTCAATTTCTGAAAACTGATGTAATACCATTGATGGATACAAAAATCAAAAATTATTGACATTGCTTGCAGTTTTTTGGGAAGAAATTTACCACCCTTGGTATAGGAAATAATGAGGATTTTGTCACTATTTTATGTTTTTATTTAGTTATTGTCACTGAATACATTTCATAAGTAGATAGTTTTTGCAGTAAATACCTGTGAATATACCTGGTGACACAGGCTCATGGTATACCCCTCTTTTCTTTCTTGTTCTTTAAGCTATATTTCTGAAATTTGCAACATTGAATATGCTCACTAGAGGGCACAATCTCACTCTTTAGGATTATTTTTCATCTACTGGTTTTCCTGCAAATGACATCAACTTTCAATTTTTAGATGGAGCAAATTCAACAATACTGGGTTTGATTGGGTTATCTCGAAGGATTACAAAAATATTTGCAAATATTGTAAGTGTTCCATTTGAAAATCGAAAATTTATGTCATTTCTAGGAAAACTGGAAGATGAAAAAAAAAAAACGAAAATGTGAGAAAAAGCCCTCTAGTGAACTTTTTTGATGTTCCAAATTTCAGGATAATGCTAGAAAACCAAATGAGAAAAGGTTGATACCATGAGTCTATGTTCACATTTTTATCTTTGTCTCAAAATTAAAAGGGCTGTTATGGAATATTTGATCACCTACATATTATGGCAATGTGAAACTTTTAAATTCATGTTTTTTATTAGGTAAATGTTGCAGCATTAGCAAATTGCAAGAATAACAAATAATAATACATTTCTGACTATACTAATCTCATTTATATAATTTTTACAGCAAATAAATTATTTTTCATACATTTTATCACATCCATAGCTGACCTAAACTTGTTAATAATTATAACCTAAACATTTAGGTATTTTATATTTTATTACTAGGCAAAATGACTGCTGGAAATGGTAGATAAACATTAACATATTTTTTGCCTGAAAAAATATGAAATGTAATATCGAAAGTACTTCCCTTCAAGCAGTATTAACATGTTATCAACCTTGCCTTGCACTAAAATATATTTTTGCATCAACTAACAATTTAGTTGCAAGGAACACATTTTCCTCACAATTCAACAAATCTTGTACATCCTCTTTTATACCATATAATTGTATACAGGGTGAGTCAACGGTATCTGTGAACGATAGGAATAAATAATGATCATAATTTTCTGACATCAATTTCAGAAATATGTATTCAGCCTAAATAAACCATTATTTATGATTATCATAATTATTTCTAGAGATTTGCAAGAAATTGGAACTATTGACTCACCGTGTACAAATAGTAATTATTCATAGCTTATAAATAAATAAATCTCACCTGCACAATAAAAAAACTTAACTATATCACGATAAATAGCCTCCGTGAGATTCAATAAAGAGTTATACTTACATATCGACTATTCACCGCTATCACATATTGCGAGTATTCTTGAATAATACAGACATTTATACAGATTGCGCGAATACACCAGGCTAGATTTACAGAAAAAAATATTGTAACTGAACACTGAATAGTGTTTTCAACACATCTATAACCGTTCAACTCCTAATTGAGACTGGAATGGTCCGTTCAAGAACGTGTTTTTGTGTGTTCACACCCACTCGATCGTTCGTGTGCATCGTGTCTTCCGTTTAAGGTTCGATATCGCTTCCTATAGGTCGCGTGCACGAAGACCGACCCTGGAGGCAAAATATTGAAACACAACCTCATTCTTCTGTGAATTATTGAAACACAACCTCACTTTTTTATTTGGTTACAAAGGAATCAAAAGGTTGAAATAGTTTTTCACAATATTTTGGCATACGAATCGTGTTTCTTGCGTTATTCATTAATTCAAGCATGCCTTCGCATTGTGCTGTTGTACAATGCACAAAAAATGCAGCAAGAGACTAGGGAATATGATTTTTCAGGTAAATAGTAATCTCACATAGTTATCATTATGAAATGTTGTCATTCCTTATTAAAATTCCTTCTGCCTTCTGCCACTTCTGCAATACAAGCTAATGCTGCTAATAGATTGAAAATGTCTACAACACACACGATCGTCAGCATGTCAGACCAGTCCTCCAGATTGATTGCATGTACCCAATCTTCTTGCATTATTTTAGAAATTTCAGGTGTATTTCTATTAGCTCCTATCGCAGAAGGAATTCCGATGAAAAATCAGAGAAATTATCAAATTTCAAAAATGAAAACTATATGTGAGTGACTATAGTAGGTACTTACTTTTGAATCATAATGTACCATCCGGATTTCTTCATCTTCCGCTGCAGTTTTTGTGCATTTTACAACAGCACAATGTGATGGCATTAGCGAATTGATGAATAGCGGAAAAATACGATTCATATGCCAAAATAATTGTGGAAAACTATTTCGATCACTTGTAAACAAATATGTTTTGCCTCCAGGGTCGGTCATCTGACAGTTCTTGCACGCGACCTATGAATCCCAGAAGTTCCACCAGGTGCTCATGCACCCTGACAGTGACATAATGGTGTGCAAAATAATCAAGGCATACAACATAAGATTGCATGAATTCAAAATAAAAAATTCGAATCGGGTGTCAATTCAGTTGAAAATAATGAATGGCATCTAACACGAAATTTAATATCGGAAACAAAGTAGATTACTGAAATTTTTGTGTCCTACCTGAATGTGTCCCCGCCTCCCTTTATCATCGTGATTGTCAACGTCAAAACTAATCTGGAATAATTTTTCGCGATATTTTTTAATTTTGTGCTCATTTTCTGTTTATATCAACAAAACACAGGGTGGCTAAGAAAACATATTTTTTTTATGAATGGATCTAAATTCGATAATAATATATTAATGATATATCTTTTTGAATTGATGAGCTTATTCATTATATTAAAAAAATATATATAAAATCATTTCATTCAAAAACGGAACTTTTTCGGTCATCCTGTTTTTTGTTGATATAAAGTAAAAGTGAGCACAGATTCGAAAAATTCGAGAACAATAATTATTCCAGGAATATTTTTTGAATAACTGAAAAAGGGGGGTGACATTTAAGTGAGACACCATGTACCTATACCTTTTTGCTTTTTGATATTGTAAGTTCTTTCTATATGATGAGTATAATATATGTTTATATAATTTTCGAATTATGATAATATTCGTCTCAATTTGAAATTGAAAAGATATAGTTTGTGTATTGACTGTATATGAATATATAGTAGGCACCTACAACAAAATCAGGATGTGTTTGGAAGTACATACAGGATGTTTCATAATATGTGCGCAGAACTGCAGGATGTGATAGCTCATCCAAAAATATGTTAAAAGTTTACAGTAACTAACCCTCTGAAATGCAGCATTTTCGAGATACAGGGTTTTGAAATAAAAAAAAATAGTCATAATTGATGAAGATTCTGAAAGGGTAGTGGGTGTTTTTCGCCCCAACTTCTACGCCACTGAAAAAATTGAATTTTGAGCCGCTTATGAGAATATTTTTTAAATTTCGCTGTTTTCTGTGCGATAAACATAATTTCAACACTCTATATCTCGAAAATGGTGCTTTTTAGGGGGTAAGTTGAGGACACAATTTTTTTCTCCAATTTTTAAGCGAACTAGCTAATCCTGAAGTCCTGCGCATATATTTTGAAACACCCTGTATAATGAATTCACCCTAAAAAAAAAATACCTGCTACATGCTCAGTTCAGTGTATTAATTCTGGAAGGCACACTTTTCTCATCATATTAAATTTTTTATAATCATACATATTTGAATAAAAATTGTCAAATCAGCATTCTTGTTCTTCAAATGGGACTCTTTAATTGCATATATTAGGTGGTATCGATCGACCTCCGTCAAACCTACATGGTATAAACATTTTTTTTTCGAAATATTACCCTGAAGATGAGAAAAAATGTGCCTTCAGTATTTTTCCTGTCCATGGAGCTATTTGAAATTTGATGATTTGGGAGATGAAATGATTTTTTTTAATTTTCAAAATTCTTACTGTAATAATAAAAAATTGATATTTTTTTGAAATCGTAGGTACTTGTAACGTGAACAAAATCCAAAACCGGCAATTACAAATATATAAGCAACTTTCATGAGTAGGTATATACATACATACATAAAAATTCATCACAATATCAACAGGTTCATTCAAATGTTGATAACATTCCTGTGTAGGTATGGTAGGTAGGTACAGTTTTTTCAGAGTAGGTATTATTCAAATTGATGACATAAACATTATTGGTTTTTATAAAAAAATAACGTCAGGTTCACATTATTTGAATTTGATCATTGGGTCATTGTTGCAGTTTTTGAACAAATTTCTAAGCCTACTTGTCACTTGTCCTTTGTAATCTGAAATATTCATATCAAATTTCTCCATCTATCTTTTTGGTACCAACTTCTGTCACTATGGGAAGTGTCAACAGTGAAAACCAAAGTACAAAAGACAATTCGCCAAGAATATTTGTTTTCCATTTTCATGTTGAAAACGGGAGCAGATTCGTTTCCGAAACGTCCTAAGAGAAGTGACATTTCATATTTTTCAATATACTCATATATATATTTCTTCAAACATTTCTCAAAGAAGTTGTCACTGACTATCAATCGAATTTTTCTTTTAGGTTCGTAATATTGCATTTTCTATCGCATTGAGATTTTTGGAAATATCTGATTTGTCCTTACTTTATTGAAATAACACATATTTTTATTCATAGAGAAGAGGAGAGACAATCACAAAAAAAATTTTAAGGGTAGTAATTGAGTATACCTACCTACATAAACCACACTTAGGGTTTAGGAGACACTCAAATGAACTATTTCATTTTGCGTATTATGTTTAAACTCTGCATCCATAAAAATTGCCATGTATATATTCACAGGGTATTTAAAAGTTGAAGTTTTTCTAAACACGACAGCAAATCAGTCAAATCCTGTGAGTAAAACTACTATACTAAAATGAAAGAAATACACTCGTCATGCACGTTTCAAATCATTCGAACTATTTGTTAATTTTGTATCGACCTTCATGTTTATATTTTCATTATTTTTCAGAATATTATCTATGTCGCTATAATATAGAAACACCGTCAACTTGAAAAACACCCTGTATATGTTTTTTGTTCATAGTTATTTGTGCTGCCACAGTTTCATAACGTTTTGTTGAATACTGTCATAGTGTCATATAAATGTATATATGCATGGTAAGTAAACGTAGGTACCTAAATTCTTCGAGTATTTACAATATCCACTACTTTTAATGCAAATAATCTTTGGTATAGTTTCCACTGCATGGAGTTTTCTTTCCGTTTTTTCCCCATTTTCTGCAACCGGGCATTTCAATAATCATTTCTGTTTTGCCTACCATGTTCATGATTCTCCATGTATTAGTCTTGATATCGATCCTAAAATATAAAGAATTTACATTATTTTTGAAATTGCGTACTGTATAATTTTCTTTACTATATAGGGTGTTTCATAATTGGATGTCAATATTTGGGGAGGCGATTCTTGGGCCCATTCTAAGAAGACAGTTTCAAATGAATGTATGACCTAAACGTCCTAACTTTTGAGATACAGGGTGGTAAAGTTCTAAAAAATTAATATTTTTTTAATTAATATCTGTAATACCACTTCAGATATTCTAATGAAATTTGGCATACATGTACTATGTATCAAGAGCCATCAGTTAGTGTACCACATTTTTTTTGTGGCCACCAGTGGCGTTCGTATGGAAGTTCACATACCTATTTTGGCAGACATTGATGGTACGCCACTGATTAATCTCGAAATTGAAATCATTCCTGAAACATTGATGAAACATTTCTAAGCAAATTTGATCACAATAATTTTTTCAATTTGATGCACGGTTTTCGCTTAAAAAAATAAAATGCTTCTCACTACATGATTATAGCAATATCGTTAATATGACAATATCACAATGCAGAGAAATAGATTTTATTTTTTAGATCAAATTTCAGAGATACAATTCATAGTTTATGAACTTCGTATTCGTATTGGGTATTTTGGAATTATAACTTTTCATTGTAGTACGCTATATTAATTTTTGAGAACTTTACCACCCTGTATCTCAAAAGTTAGGAGGTTAGGAATGGGCACAAGAATTGCCTCCTCGAATATTGACATTTAATTATGAAACACCCTGTATACACAAAAATTACGTTTTTTTACAAACCATTTTCTGGAATATTCGTTTTGAAATCATAATAGTGAAACCTACACGTGCATAATTATCAAACTAAGATTAAAAGGAAAACATTAATCTACAAAATGTGTGCTATCTACTCAAACTAAAATATACTGTACTATAGGTAAAAAATGGAGAAATTTAGTAACAAATCATTTTTGTGCCAAAAATGTTATCCTCTCCACCAGTATCAAAAGCGAAAGTTTTGGCACAAGTTCTTGAAATAGCTTTCGGCACTCAAATTAGGCCTTGAAACTTTTTAATTCTTGTGTTTGAGAATGCTATTTTTCATTCCGAATTTGCCAGAAACTCTCAGTTTTATAGTTAGTTCAAGGATTTTGATTCTTCCAAATTAGACAAAAGTTTTTGAAAGCTACTTCAGCTGAACATAATACGTCAAGTTATATCAAAATTCAAAACATAGTTATCGTTAATTCTACAATAAAGTATAGGGTGGCTTTAGATATATTATACAGGGTATGCCACGACGAGCCTACACTATCTTTATATCGAGAATCAGTCGGGAGAAATCCATAAAAATGTATATTTTCGACATTGCAGTGTTGCCGCTTCTTCCAGAAAGTAGTAGCAATATCGATATTTCAAAGGGAACACCCTGCATTTTATCGCATTTTTAGATTCTCCCTGAAGAGCTGATTTTATCTATCTATCGGAGAAGATTACAGAGATATAGGGTGTTCAAAATCGAGATTTTTCAACTTTAGGATCTTTTCGTCTCGAAACTTTTCATTATCGGTCAAAACGGCTCACATGTCCCGATCTCAACTTTTGAATAACTATTTACTGATATTTAATCGGAACAGGGTGGTTCAAGATTCAGAATTCTGATCACCCTCTATTTGTTCCGATTAAATATCAGTAAATAGTAAATCGAAAGTTGAGATAGGGACATGTGAGCCGTTTTGGCCGATAATGAATAGTTTCGACACAAACAAATCCTAAAGTTGAAAAATCTCGATTTTGAACACCCTATATCTCTGTAATCATTCTCGATAGACCCCAAGTGTGATGTGTCGATGAAATCAGCTCTTCAGGGAGAATCGAAAAATGCAATGAAATACAGGGTATTCTATCTGAAATAACAAAGTTGTTACAATTTTTTGATAGAAGCGGCAACCCTGCATTGGTGAAAATATTTTAAATGAAGAGAACATATTCTAAAATATAAGCATGCATAGTTTCATGGATTTCTCTAGACTGATCCTCGGTATAGAGATAGTGTAAGCTCGTCGTGACGTACCCTGTATACACGTATTTATATTATTATGAGATTTTTACGAGGATAAACTTATTGGAAATTCTTACCGAGAAAAATTTAATTGAAAAGTCACGGTATAGGTACTTCTGAAAAATCGAATTTATCCTAAAAAACAAGAAATATGAGAGTTGAGTGAGAGGTACAATTTCAAAGTCATAATAATTTTGAATTTCGGCGAACACACTTGAAATATCAGTCAAAATCGTTATCTACTCAAAACATGCTCATGTACAAAATGTTAGGTTAAAGTACATCTGAAACTCACAACAAATCTAAAAGAGACATTAGTAAGTTATTGAAGAAAACAATTGGTTAATTCTAAAAGAAATCAGGATAAAAAACCTTTGAGTTACATACCTATCCAGTATTTACAGCAATTTTTTCCACATGTGGCTTCCAAATTTCGTCCGTTACATATAGGTATACGAAAATAACACCACAAATGTAATATCGTTTCCATTTATTAGAGATTTTACAACTATTTTAGGTTTCGTTATATGATTTTTTTTTCGTTTTTATCGTTTGTTGTGAGTATAAGATGCAATAAATAAATAATATCTACAAGACTTTATACAAAATTATGTAAAATATCGGTCCCTGATAGTTTAGGTAAACTCATTTCTCCACCAGAATCCAAAATTATAAAGAAAATGTTATTATGATGAGATATAACATTTTCTCAAAAAACAAATTTCACATACATGGTATATGATTACAAAAATTATAAAAATAAATATTCATTTAACAACTCTATGAGATAACCTTTTAGTAGGTATTATTGTTGAAATCATCTCCATGAGACCAAAAATGCTCACAATTTTTCAAATTCTGGTGAGAATTTTCAACCAAACAAAAATGACTGCGCATTGACTTGGAGTCAAATTATGTAATATAAACAGTCTTATATATTAGGATAGTTTACAAATATACATAAGTTCTCAGGAATTTGTATATATGTACATCGGTAACAATTTACAATTCTCCCTTTTTGGAAAAGTCCACCACATTTTTTTCTTTTTAATTCGTTTCAGCAATTGTATTTCGTCGAAAGACCTAATTTACAAGAGTATAATTCAGGTTGGCGATACATACTGGAATTAGTGGGGACTTTGTTTTCACACCTTTGTCCATCGGTTCCAGCAGGGCATCTGAAAAAAATATATAGGTACGATCAAATAGTATAATATACAGTGTCACACTTAATATGAAGACACCCATTCATTTCAGTCATTGATTTTTGGTACAGACGTAGAACGTAGACCTTCATGGGACGCGATATTTTGCTTCGCGTTGGAGATACCGAAAAGTTACTTGAGAAAATTGCTTAAAATAACCATTATTTGAAAATCGGACTTATTGAATATAAAAATTACAGAAAAAAATCAAATTTCAAATGTTGGGTGGAAATTCGGTGTAGGGTCAAATTCGATTTCTAGGCAACGTTTTCGAATAAATTTATTCGGTATAAGGCAAAGCAAAATATCGTGAGAGGATTGCGAGTGCAGCCCATGAAAATGACTAAAATACAGGGGTTTCTTCATCTTAAGTTTATCACACTGTATATAAGGAGTGTAGGAAAGTGACATATTCATCTACCACTTATGAATCTAAAAGAGGTAGCAAGAGGAAAAATTACAAAATCACTTTATATACAAATTCATGAATAAACGGCAAAGTTGCGCAATTTTATGTGTAACAATATACCGTGTTAAAACTTGAAAAATCCCGAATACTATCGGAGACATCAGGTATAAAAAAAATCGACATTGATCAAAATGAATGACACGTTATCGTGGATCCTGGATATTTTATTTGATTTTGTCACACCTTTGATTTTCCCAAAAGCTATGAGCTATCACAAATTTTTATTTTCGAATGTTCCGTTTACAAATATTGACATTCTCTGTATCTGTTCTATATCCAATAAGAAGCAGTCAATTTTTGTAAACGATACATTCGAAAATAAAAATTTTTGTCACAGCTTTTGGGATATGCATTGGTGTGAAAAAATGCGAAATAAAAAATCCAGGTCTGTGCTTGAAAAAAATAAGCTGCGACGGTTTCTGGAGGACGAAACGTTGAATTTCAGATTTGAGAAATTCAACTTGTAGGGAAAATTTTCTTCGAACTACTCGAAAGACTCTCCTTTCTGGAATACAGACTTTTGTATTTGAAACCAAGCTTTTTCTCTAAATTCAGACTTTCTCTTTGAATTAAAACTTTTTCTTTTGACTCGACTTTTCGACTTTTTCCTCCGAATTCTAATCCAAAGAAAAAAGTTTGAATTCATAAAATAAACAAGAATTTCGACAACAGATTCAGATCATCATTGAAAAACCGAGTGAAAAACCCCCTGGATCAGTGGGAGTATTATCAAAATTTGAACTTACTCGCATCTTCTCAAATTCATTTCATCTTGAAGGCATCTTCCCTCATTCAGACAAAAGTCTTTCTTGTACATGTCGTCACATTCTCGACTATCTGAAACATGGTTAGAAAAATTAGTGCTACATACATTCTTTTGACAATGTCGTACAATGTTCCCGAAAAAAAAACATATACATATACTCGTCGGATTATGAGAAGCTCTTTTCATACCGATGTAGCCATTTTTTTTACAATCACGCAATCAAAGTAATTTTTTGAGGAACATTGTATTTGATTGTTCATGCATGAAGGATAGAGATAGGGTGTATAGACATTACAGCAGTATAGCATAAATGGAAAATTCCTAGAGTGAAAATGATATTGTTCTCCAAGCGACAGGCGAAGTGACTTTTTTCTGACACCTAACAGGCAGGAAAGTTGTACTTTCTCTGCCTACGCAGGAAAAGTTTGTTGTTATGCAACGTTCCAAGAAATTTGAATGAAATGGATAATCAAAATTGACACTAAAATTGGGTG